CCCTGGGCATCCAGGAGGCACAGAGGTGTAGGGGTGTTTTAAATGCACTTTTTCCCTCCAAAGTTTTGATTTTTTTTTTTTTTGGTACCAGTGATTGAACCCAGGGGCATTTAACCACTGAGCACATCGCCAGCCCCCGCCCTTTGTAAACTATATATATTTTATTTAAAGACAGGGTCTCAGAAATTGTTTTAGGACCTCACTAAGTGGCTAAAGTTGGTTTTGAACTTGTGGTCCTCCTGCGACAGCCTCCAGAGTGGCTGGGTGTGCTCCACCATGTCCAGCTAGTTTTGAAAATTTTAGTCTATGAAATGAATTGACATTACACAGACTTACAGGGGAAAAATGCACATTTATAGACGTGCATCAGCGTGGAAGCCAGGCACAGAGCATGAGAGTGAATAAGGGACAAGATCGATGAACCTTGTACAGAGTTAAGCAAAGGGTTGGGGGCTGGAGCTTCTAGAAGGAAGGAGGAGGAGTAGGCAGTGGAAGGTTGTGAGGGGAAAATGTCACTATGAGCAATAATGACCTTGTTAAGCAGATGCAGTCTTCCAGGTAAGGCTACCTGTGCTCCTCTGTCTGGGCCAGGTGTCAAACCCCCAATCTCATCTTCCTGTGAAAAGATCTTTTCAACACAGAAAGGGGGATATTAGATACTGCCTATGCTGCATCTGCTGTTAACTAACACAGATGTCAACTTCTCTTTACAAAGGGACACCTTTGCAGAGCTTGTCTTATGTCTGCTTTCTTTGAATAACTAACTCAAAATACTCCAAAAAAATATGTTTGGAGCCCAGTGTGGTGGCGTACACCTATAATCCCAGTGACTCAGGAGAGGGAGGCAGGAAGATCACAAGTTCAAGACCAGCTTCAGCAAGTTAGCGAGACCCTGTTTCAAAATAAAAAGGGTTGGAATGCAGCTCAGGGGTAGAGCATCCTGGGTTCAATCCCCAGTGCCAGAGAAAAAGAGACAGACAGACATTTGGGGGTAGAGTGTTTTACTCTCCCACAGAAAGCTGAGTGATCTTTATGCGTCATCTTTCAGTACCCCATAAAAACCAAATAGGATTGTCTTCTCAGAGATGAAGAAACTGAAGCAGAGAGAAGTTACATAACTTGCCCAAGGTCCTTATCTAGGAGTTTGCAGTGTCAGGATTTGAACTTGGAGACCTTGACTGCAAAAATCTGCATTTATTACCATGCTAGGATGCTGCAGTCTTTGAAAATGTTTGTGCTTGTCTTAATAGAAGTTATCATTTATTGATCCTTGACTTTGTGCCAGTCACTGTGCTAAGTGCTTTTCGTATCACAAGTTGGTGTTTCTATATGCATTTTGCAAATGTGGAAATTGAGGTTCGGTTGAAGTAACTTATCTGAATCCCAAACTGGAGAACAACTGGGCCTCAAAGCCCATGTTTTTGCATGACTTGGAGAGACCCTACCCTTGTCCAGCTCTCTAGGATTGGGCAGTGGTGACGGCAGTGGGTGGCCACACAACACAAAGCCTCCCAGGTGACTCCACCCCTGACTGGATTTCTGGAGCGATCAGCTGTGATGAGTTTTTATGGGTGTACAGATCAGAAAAGATTCAGAGTTTCTGGGAGGAGAGAGAGACTGTGTTTGCCAGGCTTGAACAACTATTTCAACAAAGTGATGAATCTTGCATAATTGGAGAGGGGCTGAGGTGGAATCCTGTGATCTGGGGGACAACCCTTCCAGGATCCGTACTCTGCTGTGAAAATCCCTGGTTGAAATCTATAAACGCCCCGCATATCAACTGTGGATCTTCCGAAAGAGGGAGGAAGTGTTATATATTGTTCCCATCTTTTTTAAGTCGTGATGAGGATCGAATCCAGTGCCTCACACATGCTAGGCTCTACCAGATGAGCTATAACCCCATATTGTTCCCATCTTATTGATGGAGAAACTGAGGCCCAGAGTCGGCCCTACTTGTCCAGGTCACATAGGGACAGACTAGTAATCAGAGTGTGGGTCTTTTCCTTTGGCATCTTCATTTGTTCCACTGAAGCCAGCGTCAACAGCTGTGTGGGGGCTTGCTGTGGCCTGCTGCTGTCTAGTTTCTGAAAGGTCACTTTTCATCCTGAGATGCTGTATCTCTCAGAAATCAGAGGCTTAGAGCAGCAGATCATTCAGCACCCTGCTGAGATCATGGAACACTGGGTATAAAAATTTGCCTAGTTTGAGAAGTAGGGTCCAGAGGGATCAGAGCTTCTCTTAAATCCTGGGTAAATGTTAATGGCACATCTGTTTCGGACCTTCTCTGAACCCCTAGAGGGATCCACAGGGAGACTGGCCATTTGAACTGTAGTCTAAATGTCTAATTTTGGAAGAAGCTTCCTTTCCATGTAGCAGGAGACGTGCACTCACACAGGCCACCACAGAAACTGTTCTCAGAGCTGAGACCATTTTCCCAAAGGCTTAGAGGCCCCTCCTTGGAAAGGGGCTTTCTTCCAGATGATCCTGGGCGGCAGCCAGATACCAAAGTTTCCAGCAAACAAGGCCAACTTCAATGTGCAGGTGATGGACTTCAGCCCTCCCTCCCCTGTCAACCGACTTCCGAGGCCTCATTTAGTCAGATTCTCTGCTATACTTGGGGTTCCCTCACCCTTTGACCCCCACCCCATCATGCCCCAGACCTGGGGAAATCCAGAGCTGGCTGCCAGCCCAGTCTGGGGTGGATGTCAGTCCCCAAAACACACGCGCACACACACACACACTGTGAGGGGATATAGTTTCCATTTCCTGGTAAAAGCTGCATATTTGTACCAAGAGGCCCCTGGTTGCCAGGGCGACAGTAGGGTTTCCTTGCGAGCAGAGCTGAGCTGAGCTCAGCTGAGCTGGCTTTGCAGGCAGGTCCCCTTCACTCCCAACCCCATCTGATAAATGTCCTTTGCTGCAGTTTGGGGAGCTCATCAGGCAGTGGGAACACATGAACAAAGCTCCTGTCCTCAACCCCACACCAGTACATTGAATTCCACCGTCTACTGAGAATATGGCTGTCCCTGCTGCCCTGGAGATGACTTTGGTCTCATCCTCCAACAACCCTGAAAGGCAGAAAAGGGAAAGCCCCAGTTTTGTGCTTAAGATAAACCCAGAAATAGAGCAGTGAGACCTTGGTTACATAGCTTCAGATGACAAAACAAACATTCCAATCCAGGTCGCTCTGACTCTAAAACCTACATTCTTTCCACTCTGTCCCACCATGTCCAGTGTCCCCCAAAGAGTAAGGTCAGGGGCTGGGGTCTACAAGATTTCCTCTGAGGTTTGAGGGATATGTAGAGGAATAAAAAGCATTGATCTGGACTGTCTCCTTGGTTTCCACCACCCCTTTCAATTCTGTTCCTTGTGGGTCTTACTGAGTAAATTTGTTATTTTTACTTTTAAAAAACAATACACAGGGGCTGGGGTTGTGGCTCAGTGGTAGACGCTCGCCTAGCATGCTCGAGGCCCTGGAATACTCAGCACCACATAAAAATAAAATAAAGATACTGTGTCCACATAAATCTAAAAAATAAATATTAAAAAAAAAAGCAATACATAGACATGGTTGAAAGAGATGAGATCACACAGGCCTGTTTACTACGGAAAGCAAAGTTCCTTCATTTCTCCTCTTTTTTTCCTGAAAAGTTTGCTTAGCTTTCATCTCTTGCCTTTCTGCTGAGAGTTCTCATTAGCCCAGCACCTGCCCACTTCCCTTCCCCTTTCCAAACCAGTTACATCCTCTTTTTCATTTATTTGTAGGTAATGTACCTGTGTCTCTTGTTTCTTCACTGTAGACCCTGGCTCCTGACATCACCACCCCTTACTCCTTATCCATTCTCCATGAGATCATGTGTCTTGTTCAGATCCCCTGCAATGGCCTTCACTCATCAGAGGAAATTGATCAGAGGAAAAAAAAATCAGACTTTTTTTTTTTTTGTACTGGGAAGTGAAACTGGGGTATTTCCCTACTGAGTTACATCCCCAATCCCCAGCTCAGCACAATCACCCCCCCCCCCGCCCCCCCCAACACACACACCTTTTTTGAGACAGAGTCTTGCAAAGTTGCCCGGGTTGGCCTTGAACTTGCCATCCTCCTGCCTCTCCCTCCCAAGTCTTTGAGATGACAGGCATTTGCCACTCCCCCAGCAAAACTTCAGCCTTCACAGTGGCCTGAGGCACTGGCCTCCTGCCCCAGTCCTGTCAACCTCCTTCCTACGGCCACCTGAGCCACACCAAGCTCTGTGGTGGCTTCATGACACCCTCTGAGCAGCCACTTGAGATCACGCCTTTGTCACTCTCCTGGCCAAGCTTTGTCTTTTTGGTGGTCCTTACCACCACTTGAGGTATGCATTCGTCACTCTTCCCCCGTTAGGACTCAACCTCCAGGAAAGCAGGGATTTCAGCTCTCCTATACCTGCAGTCCTAGAGCAGGGTCTAACTCGGGACAGGTGGTAATGAATGGTAGACCTAGGAGAGGTGCGGATGGGAGCCCTTGCCCCCGTCTGCACACCAGAAGTCCTGGGTTCTGAAGCCATTCTTGGTGACTTGGAGAAAGGCCACACAGGCTGCAGATAGCATTGGACTCTGGAATCTGGGATCTGACTTGGAAGCTGAAGTGGTCGGATTCAGTTCTAAGCTGGTTGACCTCGGATCACACATTGCAGTGCCCCAGCCTCCTTTCCTCCTCTCGAGAGGGGTGGGTTGGAAGGATGATGTGAGGAGGGTTAGTGTCTGGGCAAGTGCTCTGCAGGGCCTGGAGGCTGCTGGGTCAGTGTCCTGCCCGCCCGCCCTCTTGGCTCGCCCTGGTGTGACTGTCTGGACACCATCTAGTGTATGGATTGTCATCTGAAAAAAGGTACTAAGCCAGACCAGGTCTTTGGATGTGGTTTAACCGGAGGGGCTTGAGGCAGCTGGAAAGAAAATTAGGGTGGGGGTGAAGAAAGGAAAGGATCAGAATTCAGGGGAATCTCACGAACTCTTTTTCTTCTCCACAGTGGTTTCTGCTGCAGAACCTGACACCATGGCCAATCCAGCACAGGTAAGGGGACCTTTCTCTCCTGAAGGTTGTGCCCTGTCTTCCCTGGGCCTAGGATCCCCCTAGAGTCATTAGACCTCCTGCAGAGACCCTCTGATAACCTTCAGCCTAAAACCATCAGGAAATGTGTTTAAGTCCTGTTAAAAGTCACAGCTCTTCAGAAGCAAGTCACCAGTGATGATATACAATATCCTAAGCAGAAAAGGATGCTCATTGGCCCAAATGATCAAGAAGCACAGGACTTCAAGTCTGGCTAGATCCAGGGGCCCAGATGATAGTCAGGATTCTTTCTCTGTGAGTGAGCTTCCTCTGGCTGGCTTTATTCTTGAGTAGGTCCTTCTTTGCCTGGCACATTAGTTACCAGCAGCTCCAGGTTTCCATTCCTCTGCTTTAGTAGACCAGGAGAAACCAACGCATGCTTCCAGGGGAAGACTCGGGTTTCGTTCCTGCTGGCTTGGCCTGGGTAACATGCCCTCTCTTGGAACCAGGAGGTTGAGTTGGTTTCACATGAACTGCATGGCCCAAGAGTGGTTCCCCAAGAAAGGAGACAGATACTCAACAAGCCAAGAAGCAATAAAGTCCTCTCTGCCCTGGAGATGGGGATGTTCCCTGTCACACGCAGTCAGGATTATATTTCCCTGGCTTGGAAGACTCTAAGCTCACTCTCTCATTCTGTCTGCCCATGCTGCTGGGAGGAGAATAGGAGACATGTTGGAACTTGAACTCCTGTGTGGCTAAGACTGGGGTCTATTCATAGTCAGCCCAAGGGGTCACCTTGTGCCAAAGTTGGCCTGAGAGTGGTCCCTGGTGGTCAGCCTTACAGAAAGAGGTGTGGTCAGTGGGATGATGGCATTGGAGGGGGAGAATAAAACTGAGGGACACGGAGCTCTGCCTTCCCCGGGCCTGGGGTCCCTCTAGAGTCATGGCCCCTTTGGAGCTAGGAGTTCTTCACTCTCCTTGGGGCTCATTTCCCCCTTACAAGGTGGATGAACTCAGTGCAAAGAACTTCACCCTTATGTTCGTGACTTGCCACCCTATGAACTGGGGCCTGAAGGATACCCAGAGCTTGTGTAGAGCAGTGTTATGTGACATAGGACCAGCACCCTCAGGAGAACTCCAGTGTGGCCTCCCTGCCAGTCCCTAAGGAACACACTTTGCATGGTGGCCTCTGACCACAAGGAGAGAGTATTTGTGGTTATGGGCAAAATTCCAGAGCAGAGCTCTTGCCGTTTCCCCATTTCCCATCTGCAGTCAGACCAGATGGGCATTTGCATTGAAGGGTGCCAGATGACCCAAGTGGACCAGAGGAACCAGGACCTGGGGCATGGAGCTTTGGAATTCTGGGCCAATGCTCTAGGGCCAGGCCCAGTCCCTGGATGATCGTTGTTTTTATTGTCAGGGACCAGGGGCCAATAGACCCCTGCAATCAAGTCCCAGAGTAGCAGGGCCTTAGGGGGCCCTCCTCCCATGGAGGGTCAGTACCTCGTGCACAGTGCTCTGATGGGGAAATACGGGAGCTCTGGGGCAAGCAGAGAGGATGGGGACAGTGGCCTGTAGAGAACTACTCAGAGGAGACACCAGAGGACTGAGGCATGGCCTAGGGAGGAACAGCTGAATCAGGCCAGAGCAGGGAGAGAACAGTGTGGTCCGGGAGGAAGAGTAATTTGGCGTGCTCAGAGTGCAGCAGCTGGGGCAGGGAGAGGTTGCAGAGGACAATATTAGAGGAAGATGACAAAGGTCTTCTGGCCACTGAGCTAGAGTTTGTGTCTCTTGCTCCAGTTCTTAACTCTGTTTCCAGGGCCCAACCCCCATGTGCAAACACACGCAAACACACTCTTCTCAGGTCTGATCACCTGCCTCCAGTTCCTCCCACCATGGTGACTGTGCTGTCCTCCCATGTCTCCTTCCAGAAGAGGGGAACTTTAAACCCAAAAGCATGAGGAAATACTTCCATGTCACAGAAGTTCCCAGGAGGCATGGCTCTGTGGCCTCGGTTTCGTGGAATGTTCTGGGTCAGAATGCAATGTTGAATGTAGAAAGGCTTTGGGGACATGGCAAGAAGGGCAGGTGCTGGTGCCGGGAATTCTGGGAGTTATGGAGATGAGGCCTGGGTCAAGTCCTATCAGTTGAGGTCCTGTGCAGCCAGCTGTCTCTCTGGGGATGCCTGCTTCAGCTTTGAGAGACCAGGGACACCTGCTCCAGCAACAGCCTGGGAGGGGCCTCAGACCATAGAGCCCCAGGGCTCGGGCTGCTCACCAGCTGGCACCAGGACCTGCTGAATATTTCAGGAAGGAAAGTCCCTTCCCTGCTGTCCCCTCCCTCCATTATGAGTACCTGTGGCCAGGATCTTGTCACCGGTGTGATAGGCAGTCAGGGTCAGGGGGATGAGGAGAGGCTTGGGCAGCCATACAGGTGACACTTAGAGATACAGAATTCACACTGTGGGTGTGAGAACGACTGACAGCAGTGGGAAGTCTGCTCCTGGGTGCTTTGAGAAGCTGTCTCTGTGGCTCTACATGTGACCAGTGCGAAGCTCCCCCCACCACGTGGGGTCCCAGGGTAACTAGCCTAACAGGAGATCACTTTTGTTATCCTTGTGTAAAGAACTGCATAGGAGACTGGGCTTGCGCCTCACTAAGCTAAGCTTGTCTCTAAGTGGACATTTTGGCCAAGCTCTGAGAAGGTCATTGGACACCCTTTCCTGGCAGGGCATGGCCTGATCTGTCACCTTCAGCCCCTTCCTTGGTCACCCCCACTCACCTGCACTGTCCAGAGAGGGAGAAGGGTCACAATGGAGGGGCAACAAAGGGTAGTCTGCTGCCATCTCTTCAGTCCTTCATCCTGGGGACAGACTTCCATCTTCTCCTTGTCCCCTCCTGGCAGCTTATGATTCCTTGATCTTTGGGCATCTGACTATGAGCTCAGAGACCTGCTCCAGCAGCAGCCTGCTCAAGCATACCTCTGTACTTGTTCACTTCCCCCAAACCCCCGCCGCAGCAGACAAGTTAAACATTTTCCAGATCTCACGTACCAACCTTGAGAAAGGCATCAGTTTGAACCGTATGAAACTTGCTGTTATTTAACTGCTTTTAGTCTACATAAAAGTCGTGTGGGTCAACTGGATTTTTTTTTTTAAAGTCCAATACTGGAACAGTGTCATGAGCAGGTGCTCTGTTTAATGGATGAGGACCACAGTACCAGGAGCTTGTAGCCAAGGGGAGTGCCCAGGGCAGCCCAGCCAGGACTGGAGCCACTGGGCAGCATTACAGCCTCAGTGACTTGCTTTTCTCTGCTCTTCTACATCACTCTCCAGCCACATCCCATCCTAGCGACTCTGGACACCAGCCCCTAAGCATTCAAGAATCTGGGCTTGCTTTCCAGAATGTTCCTTGACCCCAACCCCAGCCCTCTGCCATGTGTCTCCTCTTTTGGTGCCTTTTCCATCGCTCTGCTCCCTGGGGCCAGCTGTTACTCATCTTTTAGAACTTGGCTTAGAGGTCACCTCCAGGAAGCCTTCTCTGACCTGCTCAGCACATGAGTTCAGTCATTCATAGATCCATTTATAAAACAAATATTTAGTGAGTGCCTGGCTGCTCCTGGCCTTGTGTTAGGTGCTGGAAATACACCAGTGAGCTAGACACAGCTTCCTAAAGGAAAGAGACCTAAAGGTTCCTTTTCTGGCTCCTTTGCTGCTCTCATTATAATGCCTACCCCACTGAATTACATTTGCAGCTACAGTGCATCTTCTCTTCCGGCCTAGGAGATCTCAGTGGTCCCTGGTCCCAGCACTCAGTAGATGCTCAGTAAATGTTGCTTGATTGCTTAAATGAGGGGATGAATGAATGAACTGTAGGGAGGCCCTGGCCCTTGCTGCCCTGGAAACAGGAGCATCTGAATATGAGAAGCACTTAGGGTACAAAGACTTGGCCAGCACTACTGCCTATTTATAGCCTTGAAAATGGGGTCAGAATGGCACAGGGAGGAAATGGGTCTACCCCCAAAGGAGCCAGTTCCAGGAGAGGATTAATGGAGGAATGATGGTGAGTGAAATAACTCAAATGCTTAGAATTCAAGGACAGGGACAGGGGGACATCACTGGCCAGAGCAGAAGTCCTAGGCTTCGTGATGGTTGGCCCTTCCCATCTCCAGCCCCATCCCAGATGGCAACCAGGGGGAAGGAAGAAAGTTTGGTCTGTTAGAAAGAGCCTTGGATTCCTTTCCCAGCCAGGCCTCTGACTTTCTGTGTGGTCTTGATATGTCATCTGCCTTCTGTATTTTGGGTCTTTGGAACCACATGTGGTTTTTTTGTTTTTATTTTTTATCTTTTGCTGTACAGGGGATTGAACATAGGGCCATTCTACCACTGAACTCCACCCCCAGCCCTTTTTGGTTTTGAGACAGAGTCTTACTAAGTTGCCTAGACTGGTCTCCGACTTGTGATCCTCTTGTCTCAGCCTCTCAAGTTGCTGGGATTACAGGTGTATGTGCCAATACGCCTGGCCCACGTGTGGTTCCTAGGGAGCTTTCCCTTCCTTGTTCCAAGTAAGCCAGGGAAGAGTGGCAGGAAGGCTGGAGCCACTGTGGATTAGGACAGGTGGACCTAGGCAGGTGGAGAGAAAATCAACCAAGGATCATGGCAACAGCAGCCTGCAAAGGGGCCAGACAGACCCTAGAAGACTTGGCCCTAGTGGCATCTTTCAAAGCTTGGTGCTCCCAGTGCCTGTCTCAGGGTTCCCAGCATTGGAGAGAACTTTGCTAGAAACTCAGGAGAACACTCCATCCACTCCTCACTCCGCCTGCCTTCCTCTTTAAGCATCCTTCATCTCAGAGCCTGAGGAGTGCCTTCATTGATTCATGCAACTGTCAGGTACTGAGCCCTTTCCATTCTCTGTACCCAGTTATTCTCCTTATGCACAGTTACTTGTCTTATTCATGACACAGTCCCTGTCCTCCACGGAGTCAAGAATCAAGAGGAAAGCAGGACTAACGGATCTTAAGGCCCTTTGCAAAGCAGTCATTCTGATCTCTAAACCCTCGTTTCTCCATCCATCCCAGAAGCTGATCCCAGAGCTCTTCTTTTCTAGTATTGCTGGGCTGGGAGTATCCAGAGAGAAACTCCAAGGGCGGGAGGTAAAATTTCCTGGAGGAGGCCAGTTGTTCTTTCTCCTGTTCATTTATTCATGTGACAAGTACTTGAGTCTCCTTTGTCAGTCCCTGAGCCGTATACGGGGTGGGTCTGGTGCCTGCCCTCTGGGGTTCCTGGATTGGAATGCCTGCCCAGGTGAAGATGCCCATGAGATGTGAAGTAAGGCAGAAGGAGCCTGGCCATAGGAAAAGTCACCATTCTGTTCTCTGAGCTCCTTACAATGTGTCCTGGTCCATGTATTTGACCTGTCTTAAGCTTTCCTTCTCTGCCCAGGGGTATGATCAGGTTGCAGGAGATTCATGGATGGCGGGAAGAAGGCAGTGTCCCTTTCTGGTCACCCGCCCCGTCAGGACTTTAAATAGCAACACTGCACCCACGCGTGCATACCTCAGGGGAGTCAGCCTCTGCAGACATAAACCAAGGAGCACGCAGGCGCCTGGCTGGGTCCTGCAGTGCAGGCCCTGGGAGACACTGGTCAGTAGGGGGCTTGTTCTGCCTGTCTCACTCCTGGAAAGGCACAGTCTTCGGGCCACCCTGACCCCTACAACTCTTTCCATGGTGCCTGACCTGGTCCCCCACCCCACTGAGGCCTTAGCTGGAATTAGCCTCTGCTGTCTCCCACATTACCTTGCTTCTGTCTTAAGGTATTCATTACAAGCTTTATGTTAATTTGCCTGCTTGTCTCTGCTCAGAGCTGGGAAGGAGCTCGTGAAAGACAGAGCTAGGCCCCTCTTCTCTCCCCACGTCTTCAGCTCCCAGCGTTGGGTCTGGCATAGATGAAGTGCCACCGTATGGGGTGGGCTCTGACGTCCTCGGCTCTCCCTGCTCTCCCTGCTCCTGGACCCCAGACTTCTCAGCACGGCATGGCTGACCCATATCTGACTTCTCTGTGAACCAGCCCATTGTGCATTCAGTTTAGATTCCATGTCTGCACCTCCTGGCTCTCTGCCCTCCTCTCCTTGCCTGCAAGGACCATGCCAGCTTGTCCTTAGATGCCAGTTCACAGTTCAGTTTACCGAGCCCAGAGAGGTAGCACCTTGTCTTGGCATTGAACTCAAGGGTGGTTCCAGGTCCCCTGGGCCCAAGACCTCACCCTGAGTAGCTGACAGCGGCCAGGTTTGTGGAGCTGGAGAGCAGAGGGGAGCAGGGACGAGGTCTGGGATCTGTGTGACTTCCTGCGAGTGGTTCTTTCTTTGTGCTTGGCTGCCTGTCTCTGTGATAGAGATCATCATAAGTGCTCCTATGGTTGCTAAAATAATCACAATAACGCAGATGAAAGGATTTTGTGAACTATAAAGCGCCATGAAAGTAGGAGGGGCACCTGTTACTCTCACAGGGTTCCTTTCCATCCCCTCCATTCAGCCAGCTTTTTAAACCCTCCCCTGGGGGTGGAAGGTGGTGTGGGGCTATGGGCCTTGGCTAAGCCACCTTCCCTTGGAGAAGTAGCACTGCCCTCTGGGCAGGTTGGAGCAGTGGCACAAGAGAATCATCCTTACCCTTACCAGCGGTTTATATGATCGGAACTTGATTTTGCAGGGTCCGGGGCTGAGTGTGGATATGGTATTATATGGGTTAGGTATCTGCCCAGAGGTTGAGGCTGCAAGCCCAGTCCAAGTCCAAGGTCAGCATTTCATCCTCTGCTTTTCTCTCCACAGGGTGCCAAGTACCGGGGCTCTATTCACGACTTCCCAGACTTTGATCCCAGCCAGGATGCTGAGGCTCTGTACACCGCCATGAAGGGCTTCGGTGGGTGCTAGACCAACCTGAGTGGGTCTTGCTGGAAGGAGGATTCACTGGATGTTAAGAGTAGTCTCAAAAGTGGGCATAGCCCAGAGTCCTGGTGTTGCAGAGGTGTGCGGTGGTGAAATGTATATTCCTTCTTCCTCCTCTTCCTCCTTTTTTTTTATAGTGGATCAAACCCAGCACCTCTCACCAAGTGCTCTCTCACCAAGCCACGACCCTCCCTTTTTTTTGTTGTTGTTTTTTGTCTCCTTCTTTTGTTTTTCTCAATTTTATAATAAAACATTTCAGGTCAACAGAAAAGGTATAAAGAAGAATAGAGGGGCTGGGGATGTGGCTCAAGCGGTAGCACACTTGTCTGGCATGCACGCGGTGCTGGGTTCGATCCTCAGCACCACATACAAATAAAATAAAGATGTTGTGTCTGCCGAAAAGTAAAAAAAATAAAAATATTTAAAAAAAAAAAAGAATAATAGAAATTTCACCCATAGATCTACCACCCAAGTAAAGGAACTAGTGCTTCATTGGTGTAGTTGAAATCTCCTTGGTAGAGCCCCCTCCTGATGACAACCCCCTGCCTTTCTTTGGGGTGACCACTGAGGGTGGCACTCATTGTTCTCTTACTTTTGTCCTGTGATTGAAAGAACCCTGTACCAGGTCATAGATAACCTGGCTTCTAAGTCTGGATCATTGGGAGACTCTGGGTGAGTCCTTGCCCCTCTCTGGGCCCCGGTTTCCTTCATGGTGCAGAAGCTGGATGAGGGCCCTTTTGAGTTGAGATATTGTGTGTGCTATGACCCTCTTCAGTGGGGACTTGAAAGATCCCCATGGATCCTGTACTCATCACCTCCTCCTCGTGAGCTGATGACTTCAGGGGACTGCAAGGCTGTGCCCAGGGAAGGGAGCACCAGTGGGCTTTCTGAAGGCAGAGTGGGTGGGGTGACCGGTGCCCTCCCCTCTTCCAGGCAGTGACAAGGAGGCCATACTGGAGCTGATCACCTCCCGGAGCAATAAACAGAGGCAGGAGATCTGCCTGAGCTACAAGTCCCTCTATGGCAAGGTAAGCCCGGCAGCTGGAGGGCTGCTGGGGTGGGCGGGGAGGATGCCACTCGCCTGTGTTCTGGTTCTGAGTCTCTTTCTCCAGGTCAGCCTCTGCTGACACTCCTGCATCCAGAGCCTGTTCTTCCTCTTTTTCTTCCTTCAGTCTCGAGTATGTCTAGAGCACCTGCTGTATGCTGTGCTCTGTGCCATGTATCAGGGCTGTGCTAGGGAATAAGATCTCAGTGGTGTCCACTCTGTAGAATCCCAGACTGTGGGAGAGACACATGGTGGACAAGGAAGCTGACGATGGGGAGGGGCACAGTGCTGTGGACTTGAACCTGCACGGCCCCTCGGCTGGCTGGGTCACTTTGGGCACATTCCCTGAGGTCTCTAAGGCCGTTTCTAAGGGCTGATGATGGCGCATATTTCCAAAAGCCATGATTCAGAAAGATTACTAACCTCAGTGCTTGTCAGAGTAAGTGCTCATTAAATGTAATTCTTATTATTATCACTGCACCTCCCCACCCCCCAGGACCTCATTGCTGACTTGAAGTATGAGCTGACGGGGAAGTTCGAACGGCTGATCGTGGGCCTGATGAGGCCACTTGCCTACAGTGATGCCAAAGAAATTAAAGATGCCATTTCGGTAAGAAACGGGGATGAATATGTGCATGTAAGGGATGGGGGTATGGTGATGGGAAGATCCTGGGCTCTATAGCAAACATCTGGTGAGCCCTGCACCTACCCAGCAGCTGTGTCTTGCTCTAAGAGGCAGCTTGCCAAAACCCTACCCCAGAGCAGGCAGATGTGGACAGATGTTGGAGCAAAGCAAACCCCTCAGCCCAGACCCCCACACTAGGAGCTTGTAGTCCCAAATAAGTATCCAACATGCAACAGGCCAGGGACACCCTAAAAGAGGCCCACAGGGTAACTTCCTGGGCTTGGAGTGGTTGGAAGAGGCATCCCAGGAGATGAGAGGATCAAGTCAAGCCCCAGACCTGGAGAAGGTTGATGGATAGGAGTATGGAGGTCATTCTAGGCTGGGGGAAATGGCAGGAGAGGTTGTGGAGGTATTTTCAAGATAAGAGGAGAAGTTTAATCTGATTGAGGCAGAGAGTTGCCCTCCAGGAAGAAGGGAGATATTAAAAAGCCCATAATCGGGGCTGGGGGTATAGACTGATTGGTAGAGTGCTTGCCTTGCTTGCACAAGGTCCTGGGTTCTAATCCCCAGCACCAAAAAAACAAAACAACAACAACAACAAAACAACCCTTAATCGTGCCTAGCACTTCACCTCCTATAAGGTGATACTGTCTTTGCTGCCAATGAGCTATTAATCATGAATTCGTTCCATAAACTGATACTCTTAGCTACGTGAGAGACTATTGCCTTCTCAATCTCCCTTAGCGTTTGGAAGAGCAACTAGCATCATCTCCATTTTTACAAATGAAAAAACTGAGGCCCAGAAAGATAAAATCTTGCTCTCGCTCTCTCTCAGATGTTTTAAGATTTTTATTTTGTATACAAAGAGCTAGCATGGTTCCTTTCATTGGGTAGATGTCTCGGATAATCCATTCAAGGAAGATCACTTAGTCCAATTTAAAGAGTCCTCTCTCCTACTGACACCCTGGTGGCACATGTTGAGACCATATTTCCCAGTATGACTATAGCAGTTTGAAAGTTACAGCAAGAATGAGAGCCATGGTGAGCTTTCCACAGGTGACTCCAGTAGATGAGCTGGTGACCCATCTGGCTTTCAGGGGTACAACTAGGCCAAAAAGCAAAAGCAAGATCAAGTTTCTTAATGAGACATTCAAGAGCAAGCTGCCCAGTGTTGCAGGTCCAGAACCCAACTGGTGCCCAAGACCTGGGGTGGGAGCACCCTGAGTAGGGGCGGCTGGTATCCTACCACCCCTGCCCCTAACTCCTGTGTGCCTTTTCTCCAGGGCATCGGCACTGATGAGAAGTGCCTCATTGAGATCTTGGCTTCCCGGACAAATGAGCAGATCCACCAACTGGTAGCAGCATACAAAGATGGTGAGATGGGCAGGAGGGGCCACTCGGGATCTTCAGATATGAAATGAAGATGATTTCAAGGGTGGGGACACTGAGACTATCCATCGCCTCTCTGATTCTTCCACCTACCCGTCCATCTTTCCAATGAGTCCCTGCTCTGTGGTGGGTAGACGAATGAGATAACAGAGAGACACAAACAAAAATGGGTAATCAAGACTATACTTTCAGGGATCATTTCTATAGTATGTTACTAGAGAAGTTTCTCTGATTGTGTAGAGTACCAAAAACCACGAGGAGGAGTTGAAAAAAAAAAAAGGGTAATCAGATAAACATGATAATAAACATTGGGGTTAAATGTTATGAAGGAAACAAATAAGAATCAGACTTTGACAGGGAGGACCCACTTCAGATAAGTCACCAGGGAAAGCAATTGTGAGAAGAATGGAAAGACAGTGCTTTTGGCAAAGGGGACAGCAAGTCCAAAGGCCCTGAGGTAGAAAGCACTGGTAGCCAGATAAGGCTGGAAGAGGTAGAGGGCTGGGCAGCGTCACACAAGACCTTCAAGAGGGAAGTGATGTTTTATTCAGAGTCCAGTGACAAATAGGGGCTTTCAGACAGTTAATCTTGTCACTGTGGATTGGAAAGAACCAAAGAAAAGCGGTAGCCACTGTCCTTGAGAGATAATATTGTCCGCGGTCAGATGGTCCAACAGGGACAGAGAGAAGTAGATAGATTTCATGTCATGATGTCTTAGTCCCAACAACTGCAGATACACTCTGGGTCTTGCCACGGTGGCCTGTAGACTGGATTTGGGATTTGAAACAAAACAGGTGATCATTTGTGGGGTAGCAAGGGACCTTTTTCCTGGATCCCTGAGGCCTCTGGATGAGGCTAGATCTCATGTTCCTTTCTGCAGCCTACGAGCGAGACCTGGAGTCTGATATCATCGGCGACACCTCTGGCCATTTCCAGAAGATGCTGGTGGTCCTGCTCCAGGTTAGTTAATCCATATGAGCCTCTGAGCCCCTCCCTGGCGCTCTCTCCTAGAGTCGGGCTGAGGACCATGGGCACCTCCTCCAGGCTCCCAGACAAATGGCCCCGCGAGGGGCTTTTGGGGAAAGGTCCTTCTCTTGTGCTCTGCCTTCCTCATTGCCCACCCTGCAACTGCCCCTAGCCTCTGGATCCCAAGACGGTTTCTCTGGCTCACCTGGGTATGGAATTGGGGACCCCCGGGGGGTGGGCCTGGACCCATCCTTCTGGATAGCACAGTGCCTTCAGAAGACCCACACATCCTTGGCACACGCTCCTGTCTTGTGACCAGTATTCTCCCTGTGAACTCCTTCCTCCCCTCTCTGGGCCTCCCTCTTGCCACTGCTCCTCCAACCATGGCACCTGCCCGGGATACCAGGAGGGACATGGTGCTGCAGGGCCACCTGCATCACATCACCCACCACCAGGCTGTGCTGCCTTCCTGCTGCCCATGAAGTCCATCACAAGAGGACTCTAAGAAGGCCTCACACTGCTCTCCATGGCTGAACTCAGTCTACCACGTTGGATTTTTTTCTTTTGTTTTCCCACATGTTTAAACACCAAAAAACTTTGAGTTAATTGCTGACATTCAAAAATAGATTTTGCTCAGTAACCAGATTTCTAGATTCTTTGGATTAATAGAAAATTCTGGCAACATCAGGCCTTCAGTGACTGGAAAACGTGTCTCTCTTGCCTGCTTCACTGTGTCATTTCTTTTCCTGGCACTCTGGGGACAGGCAAGGCAATGTCTCAAGTCCAGCTCCAAGGACCAAACCTTTCTGAAGCCTCATGTATAAATCAAGCCATTGAAGCTGGGCACAGTGACACATTGAAATCCCAGCTACTTGGGAGGCTAAAGAAAAGGGATCACAGTTCAAGGCCAGCCTGAGCAACTTAATGAGACCCTGTCTCAAAAAAAAAAAAAAAAAAAAAAAGGAATGTAAGTAATAAATAAATAATAAACCAAGCTACCACTTTGTCCCTCTCTCCACTTCTCTCTTCCCCTTCCCTCTTTTACATTAATTCTTCCTAATTCATCTCTTCCTGTTTCCATTACAACCTATCCCTCATATTGACAGGATGGGGATTTATCAGTTGTGAGGAAGTGTGTGATCTTTGCCGCATTTCAAAGTTTATTTTGGGGGGGAGGAGATTCCCACTCCTGGATCTTGGAGTCAGGGATGTTGCCTCGTCACATCTAACTAGTGGCAGCAGTGTGGCACAGATTGCAGGCATGCCAGCTGTATCGCATGGTCAGTCCCAGAGAAAGCCCAGGGGGTTGAGACCCAGTGTCACGGGGAGAGAGGATGGAGCACAGCCCTGGCCAGGCCTACTGCAGACCTCTGCCCATTTGCTCAAGGAGCTCAGTGTGGTTTGCCCTGGTCCCTTTGATTAGCTTCCTGCTTCTAAGCCTCTTCTATCAGATGGAGCAGAGGGCTCCACAGAGCAATAGAAGCACCAAGGGGATCTGTTAATCTTTGCAGCCTGGGAGCTCAGATCATGGGGCCCAAGTTCCAAATCCTCATTGCTAAGTTGGGTTAAGGTATGAGAGCTCCAAATAATAAAATGCAAATGCACAGCCCCTTTGCCCCTGTGGTATCATTGTAGGGATATGTGGTGGGTAATGCCAGGTCCTATGGTGGGGGCTAAACAGAGCTCAGAGGCTGTCTTCAGAATTCTCCTGGAAGGGGCACCTGGAAGGACCGTGGTTATTCTTAGGACTCTCCTGTTTGGTCACAGCCTGGGAGAGGGGTCCCGTGATTCCCTACAGCATAGATGCTACTATCTTGATCCACTGGTAGCTGCTGTTTCTCCAGACCTAGTCACTGCTCCTGGACATTTCTGGACCACCGGGATTCCTCAGCCTTCCTTGTCTCCACCATCATCACCAGGTCCTTCTCCTGGCCCTGTAGTATTTGAAACCTATTTCTTGTCTCCCTATCCAGGGAACCAGGGAGGAGGACAATGTAGTGAGCGAGGACTTGGTACAACAGGATGTCCAGGTAAATGAGCCCTGATGGAGGTCCCCAAGGCATAGCAGAGGACCCTTGAGAGAGGGGAGAGGTTGGGAGCCCTGAAAAAGGCTGGAGGTGAAGCCATTTGTATCAAATACCTCGGTATTTGGCACTTTGTTGAAGAAAAGGTTTAAGTTGTCTTTCAAAGATGCATAACAGAGAAAATTGCTGAGATGTATTTTGGAGGTTTCATTGTTTATTCATTTGTTTACTTCATGTTTTTTTGAAATTAAACACCTACTCTGTGCTGGGCACTCTGCCAAGCATTGGGTAATCGCTAATGAACAAAATCAAACAGTACTGGGAGAGACAACTCATGTTGATCCCACAGACACTTCTCTATCAATATACCATAATGTCCAGATGTTTTCAGCCTCTGCCTTATGTTGTTGTGACTATAGGGACAGGTAAAGAGAATGCTATGACATCATCCCTTCTTGTTGGGAGGGAAAGAAATGGTTAGGAGACAGATCTATGAGCAGATCATAATGCACAGAGCCTTGAAAAGGGGAAGAGAACCCTGCTGGAACATTAGGGAGTACTTTGAGAAAGAATGGGACATTTAATTTGGGACATGAGGTTGAATAGAACCTTCTCCAGAAAGGATGGAAGAAAGAACTCGAGGTTTATGCAGAGGTCCAGAGGCCACTAGTTATTGGTATGGTTCTGAGTGGCCTGGCCAGTGTCTCCTCAGGTTTCTTCTCTGAGTTAAATCCCACCTCTTCCCCTTTAGGACCTGTTTGAGGCAGGGGAACTGAAATGGGGAACAGATGAGGCCCAGTTCATTTACATCTTGGGAAATCGCAGCAAGCAGCATCTTCGGTTGGGTAAGCTCCAGAGAAGACCTACAGCTGCCCCCTACTGCAGCCTGTCCTTTGAGGTCCCTATTTCTTCTCAGTGTTAGGGGGCACTCTCAGACATCCTGTCTCTGTCTCACTCAGTGTTTGATGAGTATCTGAAGACCACGGGGAAGCCAATCGAAGCTAGCATCCGAGCGGAGCTGTCCGGGGACTTTGAGAAGCTAATGCTGGCCGTGGGTAGGTCCTCATGTTGCATTTCCAGGGCCTTTGAGGGATTCTGGGATACCAGCCCAGGAGTGAGGGAAGAGGGGAACTCTTTGTTATCAAGTTGAGAAAACCAGATGGGCCATGGATTCTAAAGGTGGAGCCAGGGCAGCTTGGCTGCAGGAAGCCAAGTTGAATCTCAGCTACTGACCTCCAATGCTGTAGAGGGAGAAAGCGCTGAGCTTAGAGTTGGGATAATGATGACCATGATCGGAGGCTTATGTGGAAGATCTGCTGTACCACACACCACACTGAGCAGGCATGGTCATTATCTCCATTTCACAGATGAGGAAACTGAGTCTCACAGAGACTGAGTCACATGCCAGTGGGTAGTTTTATAATGAATTAGGGGTGCTCTGATGGTGGGATGCCAGGAGCTGACCAATCAATGGTGGAATTTAAATTCAAACCCAGGGTTTATAGCCAGGCATGGTGACGCACACCCGTAATCCCAGCAGCTCATGAGGCTGAGGCAAGAGGATTACAAGTTTGAAGCCAGCCTCAGCAACTTAGCAAAGCCCTAAGCAACTTAGTGAGACCCTGTCTCAAAATAAAAAATAAAAAGGGCTGGGGATGTGGCTCAGTGCCCATAGGCTAAATCCCTAGTACCAAAAGAAAAATCAGGGCTTCTTCCAAATTTGCTGTTGCCCTAGGTGGGCAGGTAAATTAAACTGACTGGGCCTCACGTCCTCCATCTGTTAAACGGGAGCCTGACCCCAGTTATTTGTTAAATGCTGCCTGACCCCAGTCATTTGCACGTTTGACATTCCAAGAGTCACAGCAGCTGAATCAGCAGTAAGCTGTGTGTTTGCATTCTGTGGAGGAGGGCCTCATCTTCCCACCCAGAGCTGCCCTCTCCAGCCTAACGTGACGTGATGTAGACAGGGTCAGGAACACGCTACCAGCAAGATCGGAAGTGATTCGGCTGCCAGTACCTTTCTGGTGTAGCAGAATCTAAAGATGCACCTTTTCCACCTCCACCCCAGACTCTACCCCCTGGCCTGGCCTAGTTCCCTGTGACACCTGAAAGGATGAGAAAGATGAAGTGGGCCTTTGAGATGGGCTACTCAGATTTCAACAGGCTCATTTCCTGATTTCTTTACCCTCTGGGTTTGTGATAGAGGCAAATGGATTCAAGGTGCTCTGGGGCTAAGAGCTATCAGGAGCCAGGGTTCTTCCCGCCTCTGAACTAGGTGACTTCTAAGATACAGAAACCTAGAAGGGCTCAGGCGCCATCCCCTCTGTGTTCCAAGGTGGCCGAAATAACTCTCCCTCTTCCTCCCTTTTCCAGTAAAATGCGTCCGCAGCACCCCGGAGTATTTTGCTGAAAGGCTCTTCAAGGCCATGAAGGTATGTGGGGGGTTGATATAAACCAGGCTGGGTGGGGGGCTCTGCTCACCCCTCACAGGACTGTTGGGACTCGGGCAAGTCTTTGATGTCCACTGGCCAAAGAGAGCCCTCAGGGATTGGCCATGGGCCTCACCTTGGTGATGGCACTCTGTCCCAGGTGAGCTCTGGAGCCTGGGACACTGAGTGCTTACACATCCTGCCGCGGGTATACCTGCCCCGACCTCGTGATCAGTCGTACAGTAAGTATGGTGGCAGACGACACCCAGTCCATCCAGCCGTGTGTGGGGGTCAGCCGCCCACACTTTTAAAAACTAGTGATTAACCAGAATGTTTATGTGCAATGTGCATGGGTAAAAACGCTTCAAAACACTTCGGGAAACATTGTGACGTAACTGCCAACACTCCTTATGATCCAGCAGGTCCCCTTTGGCTGAGTTCTTGAGAACAGTATTTCACAGGTTTTTACACATAGGACAGAGAAACTGAGGCTCTTTCTGTGGCACACCAGAGTGAGTGAATGCAGTCATTGGCTGCCAGAGGCCCAAGGCCCAGGAGCTCAGGCTTCTCTGGCTCTTCTTGGCCATCCCAGAAGGGAAAAATCGACTACCCACCCTGCTCTGTCTGCCAGTGTGCCATAGTGAGGTTGGGCAGCTGAGTTCTGGAGAGATGTTTACCTGTACACGTGCTCCTAAGAATGCTCGTGACATTATCATCTGTAGGAAAAAAATGGGCAGCAACCCCATGTCCACCCAGAGGAGCATGGAAACATAAATCTACAGTAGTATTTTTACAAAGTTCCAAAATGTGCACATCTAAGTATTGCTTAGAGTTGCAATATTATAAAAATCATTGGGGAAATCAAGGATGAAAATGATATTTTCAGACAGAAGACAAGGTTTATAAAAAGCAAGAAGGGATACACAGGGACCTTCAGAGGGAACGTCAATGTCTGCCTCTTTTATTCTTTACTGGCAACTAAACTGGGGGCTGTCAGCACCACAGCCTTCTCTCAAGGCCCCGTTACTTGACCCTGCTTGTCTTCCAGGGCCTGGGGACTCGCGACAACACCCTGATCCGCATCATGGTCACCCGCAGTGAGCTGGACATGCTGGACATTCGGGAGATCTTCCGGACCAAGTATGAGAAGTCCCTCTACAGCATGATCAAGGTCAGCAGACCTCATAGGGGTGCAGTGGGGAGCAGAGAGCTTTCTTCCAAGACAGAGGGCTTGGGAACCACTACCAGGAGAAAAGGCACCATCCGAGAAAGCTGGGGATCTCTTGGAAGTTCCAGGAGCCCGTGTCTTAGGTCTCAAGTGTCAGGAGTGCTTGTGAGAAATGAGGCTGAAAAGGAAGGCAGAGCTGTATCGTGGAGGGCACATGATTTGATTTAAGGATAAGGACTGTGAGTCACCCACCTCCACCCCCGCCCGGGGCAGGGGGAATGTACATTCTGCTGGAAGACGGTACCCATTGAAGAATAAATGAGAGTTAATTGAGGAACCCCTCTGGTCATGGGCCAGACAGAGATGCTTGTGAGGTGTCCAGCCTCTTTTTCACAAGACAGATATAAAATTAGGGGGGCTTTCCTTTTTTTTTTTTTTTTTTTGGAGTGAAGTTTTTTGGTGACAGGGCAAGAGATCTCACTTGTGTTCCTAAGGTATGTTTCCAAATTTTGTGCAAAGATAAACCAGTAACTTCTCATAGCCTTTAATATTTTGAAGTTTATTAAGAAACCTCAAGCAGGCTATAGAATATGCCATTTATTATTGATACGTGTTTGACTTTTAGCATTTCCCAATGTTTTCTTTCATGGAGCCTGAGTTCCATGGAATATTTCCCTTAGAAGGGCTGGGCTAGGGACTCTGGTGGCAGTGGTGTGCTGAGGCTCTCTCACGCTGGCATCTGGCAGCAAGAATTCTCCATTTTGGGAAGTATTTACACCACAGAAATTGGCAAATACCTTTTTTCCTTCCTACTTTTCTTCCTTCCCCCCACCCCCGAGAGCCTGTTGTTAAATATTGACCAGCCCACCCTGTTAGGTGGTCTAGGACACCTCCACACTCATTCGCTGTGAATGTGTGTGCAGCCCTCCACTCTTCTGGGCTATGCAGAACCTTGCCTTCTGTCTGAGAAGAACCCAGGGCTGGGTGAGAGGTCACCTTTATTTCTCTTTCTTCCCAGAATGACACCTCTGGCGAGTACAAGAAGGCTCTGCTAAAACTGTGCGGGGGAGATGATGAGTAAGTGGCTTCTTGGGTCAGGCCGGAGGGAGTGGCCTGGGATTCTCCTGGCTTTCATCCCGATGGATGGATTGGATGTGCTGGGGCTCCCTCTGAGCCAGGAGCACCATGCTGGTGAAAGGTGGCCTCTGTTGACTTCTATTGTGTTTGTGGGTCTGTGGAAGTGTCTGTGTGTCTGAACATGAGTGTGTTCTCTTATACATGGAGATGTCTCTTGTGAATAAGTTCTTGTGAACTTGGAAGGTCAAGGTGGAGTTTGGACCAAGAATATGGGGGTCCAGCCAGATGCAGAGGTACACACCTGTCATCCTAACCACTCAGGAGACTGAGACAGGAAGATTGCAAGTTCCGGGACAGCTTTGGCAACTTTGCAAGTCCCTGTCTCAAAATAAAAAGGGCTGGGGTGTAGCTTAGTGGTAGAGCACTTTCCTTGACATGCAAGGCCTGGGTTCAATCCCTAGCACCTCAAAATGAAAAAGAAAAAAGAGAGAACATGGGAGTCCAGGCCCTACTACTTTGTAGCTGCTTCTCAGTTACATCGTGTGTTTTATAGGGAGAAATACAAGCTCCTGCTCTGCCTACTCATTGATTAGGATATTTGTATCAAGTGCCTTCTGTACAGCCCTGTGGGGAAGCTCCCATTGAAGCCTACAGTGTAGCAGGGGATGCGGACCAGTATGCCAACATGGTCAGCCCTACAATGAGGGAGAAGTATAGGCACCATGTACATGAAAGACAGAGGTGCACTGACCCTAAACTGTGAATGCTCCTCAAAGATGATGGGGCAGAGACCCAAGGAGGAAGGGGAAGAGGAACAGCCAAGTAAAAGGAGGGAGAGTGTTTGGGGTAGAAGAACTCACAAGTAGAAAGGCCTGGAGACAAGGATGGACCACCTGGTTTGTCATATAACTGAGGTCACAGTTACATGGTGCATGAAGAAAGAAACAAAGCAGAGACCTGGGCCAGGCCTGGGACCTCTTCCTGTCGTGTTAAGTTGGGCCATGGCTTGATGAATTTGTAGAAAGGGAATTGTGAGTGCTCTGATTTCTCTTCTCTGAGGTCTTTAAGAATCAATTAAAGAATCAGGTGTGGTGGTGCACACTTGTAATCCCAGCAGTTTGGGAAGTTGAAGCAGGAGGACGGCAAACTCAAGGCCAGCCTAGACAACATAGTGAGACTTTGTCTCAAAATAAAAAAAATAAAAAGGGCTGGGGGCATAGCTCAGTGATAGAAAACCCTTGGGTTCAAGCCCCAGTACCCACCACACCCTACCCCAACAGGATCCATTAAGGAAGGGAGGGATACAAGAGCCTCCTGCTAACTTTGGTAAGTGCCATGGAGTCTGCCGATTCAAGGGGATACCTCGGTACTTTGCAGGAGATGTAGGGACAACGTCATCCTGGGCCCAGTAGCCCGTCTTCCCAGGCATACACACCGTATCCCACCCCTTGGCCTTTGAGAGGGTTTGAGACAGAAGTCACTCATGTTATTAAGAAGAAAGGGGAGGCCCAAGGATTGGAGAAGTCCTTCCCCACTTGGATCTGGGGCCAAGAAGGCTTCTGGGAGAAGCCAGTGTTTCAGGGAGCTGGAGGACAGCTCAAGAGAGGATGGAAGATGCTCAGGAACGAGGGAAGGGCTCTGGGTAATGAATGAAGCCAGGCTGAAGAGAAAGGAAAGCCACAGGTGTGTGTGTTGGTGAATGTGTGTGTGTGTGTGCGCGCGCGCGTGTGTGTATGTGTGCGTGTGTTGTGTATGGAGCATTACCCATAATGACATTCCCTCCTTCCCCCCCTCAACCCCCCTCAACCCCCTCCATTCCAGTGCTGCTGGCCAGTTCTTCCCGGAGGCAGCGCAGGTGGCCTATCAGATGTGGGAACTTAGTGCAGTGTCCCGAGTAGAGGTCAGACCCTCCCCACCTCCTGCTTGACCACCAGCTTCCACTCTTCCGCTTGCACCTTCCTGCTGCTCTGGTTGGCACCCAGCTGCCCCCTGGCGGCCAACCTGAGACAGATTCTCACAACTGCAGCTTCCTTTTCTCCCCTCGAGTGATGAATTGGTTGGGGGATCTTCTGGAGGGGGCACCTGATTCCTGCATTAACTTCTAACACGCTGGGGAGTATTCTGGCCCACTCACTGCTAACAGGGCTTGCTCAAGCAGAGACCTGGCTGGTTCCATGGGGTTCCTGTTTCATCCTGGGTCCAGTAGCCAGGCTTCCCAGGCATACACACTGAGATCCCTGGGGGCACTGAAGGAGTCGAGGCTGTGCTCCTGAGCATCCTCAGACCTGGGGTCCACAAAGACAGAGATGAAATGTTTCACAGAAGCACTTGGGACAAACCATTCCAGAGGCCAGTAATACTTGGCCCACACAATTTGGAACCTTGGATTCTATAAGTCACTGTCTGGGATACTTTGGGCAAGTACCCACCTGTCTCTGAGCCTCTATTTTTGCATCTTCAAAATGAAGGGTTAGTCATGGCCATCTTGGTGACTTAAGGGCTCTTGAGCTCTGATGTTCTTGTTGTAAGGCAAGAACTATTAATGTAAATGATCTTAAGTTAAACAAGAAATGAACTTAGTCTGGCAGAGTGGAGGACCCTCAGGACGTTAAGTGACACCGAACCCCACACAGTGGGAGAGCAATTCCTCTTCAATTCCATCGATCTTTCTGATTATGTCAAAGAAATAGTCTAAGCTTGGTGCCAAATGAGTCCCAGCACTCATTGACTATCCTTTTTCACAGAGCAAAGGGCCAAGTGTAGTGTCACATGCCTATAATCCCAGTGATCCAGGAGGCTGAGACAAGAGGACCCCAAGCTCCAGGCCAGTCTCAGCAACTTAGCAAGACCCTGTTTCAAAATATGAAAAATAAAAAGGGCCAGGAATGTAACTCAGGAGTAAAACACCCTTGGGTTCAACCCCCAGTACCAAAAGGAAAAAAGAGCGAAGAGAGCTGGCTCTGAGTTCAGAGCTTTTGGCAAGCGATGACATCTTGTGAAATTCGGTCATAGTTAACGTTGTTGTTTTTTGTTTTTATTACATTTTCATGGGTTATCGGCTTTTATAGCGTATGATACTTCCTAATTCACTATTGTAATATAATTTTTTTCAACCATTAATTCATCTAACAAGTATCTTTTGATGCCTATTATGAGTCAGGCACTATTGTGGGCACAAGAGAGTATATACAAGGACAAAATAGGGAAAAAAATTATCTTTGTCCTTTAAATGTATTCAAATGCACTTCAAACGAATGGGTTGGGTCTTAGTAGCTCAGTGGTAGAACTTGTGTATAGCATGTGGAGACCCTGGGCTCCACCCCCAGCACCAAAAATTAAAACAAAAACAGATATGTCTAAGTAAAACAGAAAAGAAGTTGACTCAGGGAAAATATTAAGACTATCACAGGGTATATGCAAATGTAGAAACTAGTGTGAAGGTCACTTGGGGGTGACTGAAATTTGGGAAACTCTGGTATAATATTTCAGAACACTTTGGCTGCCTTTTTAGGGGCAGTGACTCTAACGGGCAACAGGGCCCTAGAGACAGGGTGGCATTCTGAAGGACTGGGGGGCCCAAATGGAGTACGCAGTCCCAGGAAACTGGGACAGGATGAGTCCTATAGCAGAAGCCGACTCCTTTTCCCTGACCAGCTCTTGCCCTGCTCCAGGCCTGAGACCACCTCTCTCCTCTGTCCCTCTCAGCTCTGGCTCAGGGTCTGTCTGCTGTGCCTTTCCCCTGCCTCTTTTCCCCAAGCTGCTTGGTTTGGAGCTCACGGGGAAGGCTCCCCCCTTCGCATGCTCCTCTCTGGCCTGGCTCTGGAGCCTCTAGACAATTGCTCATGCTCTTTCTGCTTCTCACAGCTAAAGGGAACCGTGCGCCCAGCAGGTGACTTCAACCCTGATGCAGATGCCAAAGCCCTGAGGAAAGCCATGAAGGGACTTGGTAAGGAGCACATGAGGGCAGGGTTGGCCTCTGGGGCAGCAGTGTGGCAGGTTTGGCAATGGGCTGGGCAGGACCCAGGGATGGGACATCCAGCTAATGTCTGCATAATGAGGAGGCCAGGTCTTCACCCTCCTGGGAGCCTCCTGGCTCCTTCAGTGGGGAAAGGAAGGGCACGAGAGAGGGCTTGTAAGGAACTTGGCAGGCGTCTTTCCTGGAGACCAAGGTGCCCCCTCAGGGCCTTGGGTACAGTATACTGGTGTGAAAGAAAGTATTAGGTCATAAAGCCTGGATTTGTGCTGTGGCTTTGCTGCTGACTCACGGTGTGACTTAGTCCTAAGTCCTTTAACTGTTCTGGGTAAAATGAGGGTGATGACCCAGTAGCTGAGAAACCCAGACCTGGAACGAGAGCGCCCCCTGCTGGTCAGCTCTTCTAGGCTGGCATTTGCTTGTTGTGGAAAAAGCCCCACAGCACCCAGCTGGACCTGTGCTCAAGAAAACCCAGCTGGGGACAGAGAGTCAGGGCTTTGGCTTCCATCACCTTTTCTCCTCCTCGCTGTTCCACAGCAACTCCCGGTAGGCTTTAGGGAAAGTCCACTCTTCCAGGCCTCATTTCTGTTTGTCTCGTGGGAATAGTATCTATCACGCATATCTAGGTCTGTAAGATGATAGATGTAAAAATGAGTCCTGTGCCAGATCTGAGGTTGATGGCACTGTCTGAGCCAAGATTAGAACCAGAGTCCCTGACTCCCAACCCAGTGCTCTCTCCCTTCGTAGGTATCCCTTTTTCTCAACCAGTGACTTGACAGAAGGAAGCTGGGAGGGATCCAGGGGAAGTCAGTGGCCTGAGCCAAAGACAAAGGGCCGGCAGGGGCTCAGAAGCACATGACTGCCTGGCCAGATTTCTACCTAGATGGGGACCATCACTGGGGGGACATGGAGAAGCTGAGTCATAGGCCTTCCTCTGAGGCATGTGGCTTTGATGATTCAGGAACCGACGAGGACACCATCATTGATATCATCACGCATCGCAGCAATGCCCAGCGCCAGCAGATCCGGCAGACCTTCAAGTCTCACTTTGGCCGGGTAAGGGCCTCCCCCCATCCACGCACCTCCCCTGATGAAGCTCATCCCCTCACAGCCAGCTCTGCACTGTTGGGCACAAATGTCTTCATGGCAATAGGAACCTCGTGTGATTAGATGATCTTGGAATGTCTCCAGTACTGGGTTTGGGCTGCCGCAGACATGCCTCTTGGCTCCCCCAGTTCCTTGCTATCAGTGACACTTGTGCGAGATGGCACAGTAGAGGCAGAAGCTCAGCATGGGTCCCCGATCAGGGATATGAGTGTTTTCAGATGGTGCTTTGGGGGACTTGCAGTTCCTCTGTGCAGAGAGAGAGCTGGCTTCAAAGCCCCAAGGCTGAGTGTCAGTGATTATCACACCTTGGTGGCACCTGGCTTAGGCTGATGAGTTTCCCCCAAGATGGAAATGGTGTCCTGCAGCATTGCCTCCCAGGAGAGCAGATCTGCTTCTTGGTTCTTTTTCTCCCACTCTCTTGAACTTCATCTGAATAATAAATGCAAGCCTGGTGCATTGGTTCATGCCTGTGATCCTGGAGGCTGAGGCAGGAGAATCACAAATTTGAGGCCAGCCCCAGCAACTTAGCAAGACCCTTTTTCAAAATAAAAATTAAAACAGTCTGGGCGTGTCGCTCAGTGGTAGAGCACCCCTGGGTTCAATCCCCAGAACCAAAAAAATAAAATAAAACACAAAATAGGGCTGGGGAATGAGGCTCAGTGGTTGAATGCCCCTAAATTCAATCCTTGATACTACCCCCCCCCAAAAAAATAGATATAATATATAAAATTTAACATCAGCAAAGACAGACTCCTGTGACTTTCCCACAGGGAGATCCTGTTTCCTCATTTCCTAATGAGTTTTGATGTTGGCATGACCTTGGCCCTGCCCTTTGTAGGACTTAATGGCTGACCTGAAGTCTGAGATCTCTGGAGACCTGGCGAGGCTGATTCTCGGGCTCATGATGCCACCAGCCCATTATGATGCCAAGCAGTTGAAGAAGGCCATGGAGGTATAGTGTGGGCACCAGTCTCTGCTGGTTCCGGTGGGGCACAGAGGTCAGGACAGTGGCCAAGATTGTCTTTGCCTGGATGTTCTAGGGAGCTGGCACGGATGAAAAGGCTCTGATCGAAATCCTGGCCACTCGGAACAATGATGAAATCCGGGCCATCAATGAGGCCTACAAGGAGGGTAAGTCTGGGGAACTGGGCCTAGTGCTGCTGGGAGGCAGGCGGAAGAAAAGCCAGGGCCCTCTGCTCTCAACCTCAGCCTCAACTCCACCCGCAGCTCCAGCCTATCTCCTTTCTCTCAGTTCACGAGGCTTGGATAAGCCCCTTGGGTGTGCCCAGCCCTGTGTCTGGAGAAAGACAGAGGTGTCCCAGTAGGACAAAGGCATGGCAGTGGAAGAAGGTTTGGAAGGAGGTGAGAAGAGAGAGCTTCCCAGCCCACTAAAGAGAGCGAGAGAGACTTCATGGTGTATGGCCTGAGCAGCTGTCCAGGGCCCACACTCAGCAGGGTCTTCTGCTTAAATGCACGCTCTGCTGTTGCTATCTTCAAATTCTTAGTGTTTAAACAAGTGGCCTCTTATTTTCATTATGAAAAGCCGCAGACAGTTTTTCTCTTATAAACAGTTTACAGTAGAATTTTTGAGTAGGGGAGTGACATGGTCACAGTTGTGCTCCTGGGTCTAGATAGAGGTTTTAAGGGAGAGAGGTGAGATACTATGAGACCTCAACCAGCCATGTAAGCAGAAGGATGCAGAGGAGGTGAGGGTTGATGGGAATACCAGTTGTCTTACAAAATCAGCAGAAGGATGACTGGATGCCCCCGAGAGTTGAATACACACCCCTTCATTCCCACCTCTCCTTGCTAACAACTGCCCTGGCCCAAGTTTGAGCTTGGCTAGCAGGTGCCCACACCCCCTTTCTCTGTCTCAGACTATCACAAGTCCCTGGAGGATGCCCTGAGCTCAGACACATCCGGCCACTTTAAGAGGATCCTCATTTCTCTGGCCACGGTGAGTGCATTCATGGGGCCTGGGAGGAGGGGAAGCATGGCTGAGTGCGAGAGAGGGGTCTCCCCTCTTGACTTCTCAGTGTCTCACCACCTACCCTTGTTCACTTCTCAAAGCTGGCTTGGTGCCATCTTCTCCAGGCAGCCCTCTTTGATGGCCATCAGCATGGCTTTTGGACTCCCAGCTCATAGAACAAGACGACATGGGTGACCTCCTCCTGTGATGTTACCCAGGAGCTTCCTCCACCATCTCTTGAATGCCTCATAACCCAAGTATCAGGCCCTCATCCACAAATATTGAGAGCTCACTGTGTCAGGCATGGCTCTAAGTGCCACCACCACCTATCCTAGAAGGCAGGATTATTGTCCCTGTGTTACAGATAAGGAAAGGAGTTTGGGAAGGTGGAACTGGGGATGCTGAGGGACAGGGATGGGTGCATGTGTAGGAACTGACTTTTCTTACTGGTCTTGTTGCAGGGAAACCGTGAGGAAGGAGGAGAAGACCGAGACCAGGCCCGGGAAGATGCCCAGGTGAGACCCCAGGCCACCATTAGCTGGGCTCTTCTGAGAAGCCTCTCTAAGTGACGTCAGGCCAGGCCCTGGCAGTCTGGAAGTGGGGTAGGCTCCTGCAGAGGTGTCGCCGGTTTGATTGGTGGACTCTTAGACTCTGGGCCCCTCTATTTCCACCCTTTAGAACTGAGACTTTAAGATTTTCAGAATGAGATTTGGCAATAGATGCTAGTCTTCCCGGCATTTCCTATGTGAGCAGTAGGTTCCTCGGAATGGGAAGGGATGTACAGATGACCCAGGTCAAACCTTTCAAGTTACAGTTGAAAAACAGAGGCCAGAGTGGGTGAATGTCTTCTGGAGAAAGTCACACAGCAAACCAGTGGCCCAGGTAGAATTGACCTAGAGGGAGCAGGCTTGGGATCTTGCTGGGAAAGAGGACTTATTATCTATCAAATGGGGCTGAGGTTGAAGAGAGTGTCCTGGGAGAAGCCCAGGGCTGGCATCTCTGTTTTGCTCCGTGCATTCTGTTGTGTCTGAGCATGTATCCAGAGTGGCACATGCTCAGCAATACTCAATAAGTATTTGTTGAATGATTATGGGGGAGGGTTTCACCAGGATCTCTTAGCCACTCATCTGCTGCCCAGCTTCTTAGGCCAGGAAGCTTAGGTCTAGAAATGGCTTCTCCAGAGGCTGGACAACCCCCAATTTATTTCCCCTGATGGTTCCTATGAATGCATGGTCCCTACTGAGGCCATCTGAATTGTCCCTATTGACCTGGGACTTGATCCCAGCATCCACTGGCCTGACCCAGAACCTGTCTCCATCTCTTCTGCCTGCCCCTTCCCCACCCCCTCAAAATCTCAATGTCTTGGGATTGAATAGAGACACTACAAAGGGCAAAGCCCCTTATTTTCAGCTGATGGGTAGAAAATGGATTGAGAGTCAGGCAGCAACTTTTCTGTTCCTGGCTGCAACCACAGGTGTGTGGTATGTTGCAACAGTTAATGAGCTAGAAAAATCCTTAGCGGCACCCCAACAAGTACAATTGCAATGATTAGAATGCATGCTTTATACTGAGCATAATGCTGAACTCTTCTATGTCAATTATGTTTCCTGTTTTTACTGGAGGAAAATGAAACTCCTAAACTTTTCTAAGGGAAGTTTCTAAGAGTAGTGGCGTTGGTTTGATTTGAACTCGGTCTTGCCTGACTCCAAAGTCTATCCTTAATATCATTTAGAATCTTCCAGGACCCAGTCCAGAAATTTCCCCTGCAGCTTAGCAAAACAGGTAGCAGTTGTCTAGAGGTCCTGCCCTTGCTTTGGAATACAGTTGTCAGGAGCTTCAGGGTTCCTAGCTGAATCGTGGGATGTCATTTATATTTTGGGCGCATTTATGGGATAGTCAGGAAATCCAGCCAGACACAATCGCAGCTTGGTGTGAACACAATTTACTCACTCATTCAACAGATGTTTATTAAGTATTACAGTGAGTAGTGTCACTGTGCTGTGAGGGGGCTTTTGGTCTTAGCTCTCTTCCTGAATCCATCCCCTATCCCAAAATTCAACCTTCCAGGGAATGCTTCTGCCTGGTGCCTGGTCTGCCTGTGAGCTTAAGCTTCCAATGGACACTAGCAGCGGGCAGCTGGTTTGCAGGAGAGAAAGGGAGAGAGACAGCCTGAATGGAAGCAATTGAGACCCTTGAGCCAGAGCCCTGCCTAAATCAGCTGCTTCTCCAGATTAGGGTGATAATCCTTCATTTTAGGATGGACCCATTTTCTTATAAACAGATTTTTTTTAAGTTTTTTTAAGATATTGATGGATCTTTATTTTATTCATTTATTTATATGTGGTGCTGAGAATCGAACCCAGTGGCTTGCAATGCTAGGCAAGCATTCTACCACTGAGCCACAATTGCAGCCCTATAAATAGAATTTTATTGTTGTTGTTACATAAGTAATGCATATTCTTTTACAGAAACTAGAAAATAGAGGAAAAGAAAACCTATAGTCTACTTGCACATATTCAAATTGTTTTTCTGTAGATATATAAAAGTAGATCTAGAACATTTAAAAATTAGTATTCTAGGGACTGGAGTTGTGGCTCAGCGGCAGAGTGCTCGCCTAGCACAGGTGAGGCCCTGGGTTTGATCCTCAACACCACATAAAAATAAATAAGTAAAATAAAGGTATTGTGTCCAACTACAACTAAAATATTAATTTTTTTAAAAATAATTAGTATTCTATGCATATTGCTGCATATATTCTTAGAGAGCAGCAACAGTTAATGGCCAATACTATTCCATCTGAATCCACTGTACTTTATTTAACCAAGCCCTCTACCTAGTATCCAAGACTGTTAACACACTCATGATCATTTTCATTAGAATACATTTCTAATGGTGTAGTGGGAAGGCTAGAGCAAAGTGTCTATAAAAATCAAAGGCAGTTGATAGGCAGGACCAAGTTTCCCCCTCAGAAAGATAATGCCCTTCCGTTCTTGGCAGTTTGGTGTGCTTGTTTTGACTGCCTCCTCCCCCAGCCTCTTCCTCTGCACATCTGGAGCAGCAGCAGGTTCTCAGAGTCTATTATTAACAGAGTGACTGCATGTCCAGTTTCCACCTTTCACCACACAGTAACTGTCAATAGCCTCCTCTTTCCCCTTTAGCGTTCTGGTTTGAGCAATAAGCAATGTAGATAACCTAATTATTACAGGACCACAATGAAAAGAAGCATTATAGTTATTTTTAGATAATCAATCCCCAGAGATTTTTTTTTTTTGTACCAAGGATTGAACCCAGGTATGCTTAGCCACTGAGCCGAATCCCCAGCCTTTTTATTTTACTTTATGCACCCCCCTACTCTTTTTTTTTTTTTTCTGAGACAGGGTCTTGCTAAGTTGCTCAGGGCCTTTCTAGGTTGCTGAGGCTGGCTTTGAACTTGTGATCCTTCTGCCTCAGCCTGCCAACCCTCTAGGATTATAGGTGTGTACCACTGAGTCCGGCCAATCCCCAGATTTTTTAATGATATAACAGCTGTATTGAAATATAGTTCAAATACCATGCCATTGACTCATTTATAGTGCACAATTCAGTGGATTTTACTATCTTCACAGATGTATACAACCGACACCACAATCGATTTAAAACATTTCTTCACCCCTAGCAGAAGCTCTGTACACATTGACAGTCACTCATTTTCTCCCATGTCCCTAGCCCTAAGCTACCTCTAGTCTGCTTTCTGTGGCTAGATTTGCCTATCCCGGACATTTTGTGTCAGTAGAGCCACACACCACATGGCCTTGGGTGACTGTCTTCTTCCGCTTAGCATGATGGTTTCAAGGGTCGACCACTCTGCAGCGTGCATCTGTGTCTGTTCCTTCCCATTGCAGAATACTCTCTTGAGGAACTGCCTAGATTAATTTTTTTTTTTAAAGAGAGAGTGAGAGAGAGAGAAGAGAGAGAGAATTTTAATATTTATTTTTTAGTTTTTGGTGGACACAACATCTTTGTTTGTATGCGGCTGAGGATCGAACCCGGGCCGCACGCACACCAGACGAGCGCGCCACCACTTGAGCCACATCCCCAGCCCTAGATTAATTTTTGCAAGAAGTAGCTGAGCTAAAAGGAAAAGCTTTTGTGGGGAATATTATTTTAATCTTCCACCACATTTTTCTTAGAGGTTCTGGGACTTGAACCCAGGACCTTGCACATGCTAGACAAGCACTTTACCACTGAGCTACAGCCCCAGACCTTATCTTAATTTTATTTTTGAAACAGGCTCTTGTTAATTTGCCCAGGCTGGACTCCAACTCACAATCTTCCTGCATCAGCTTCACCTCCGTCTCCCCGAGAAGCTGGGAGTAGAGGAGTGCACCACCACACCTGGCTCCTACTACCTTTTTTTTGTATTATAGATGTTATTGTCTTAAAGTTGTCTTGGAAAAAATACATCCGGGGTTGTCTGACCTGAATAAATAAGAATATTTAGCACTTTATATTATTTTAAATATTTTTTTAGTTGTCATTGGACCTTTATTTAATTAATTAATTTAATTATATGTGGTGCTGAGAATTGAACCCAGTGCCTCACGCAGCCAGGCAAGCGCTCTACCTCTGAGCCACAAGCCCAGCCCATTTGTTTTATTTTTTTAAACGCCGCCCCATCCCCGTTCTTTTTTCTCTCTCTTTTTTTTAAGTAATACGAAGTTTGTTTGTTTGTTTGTTTTTTGCTTTTTGCGGGTTTTTTTAGTGCTCAAACTAAAATTTTTTTATAAAATACATGTAACATAAAATTAACTGTACTTATTGTTTTTAAGTGTACAATTCATTGGTACCAAGTACATTCACATTCTGGGACAAGAATTACAACTAGCTATCCATCTCCAGAATGCTTTTTATTTTGCAAAACTGAAACCTAAACCCACTAACCAGTAACTGCCTATTTCCCTCTCCCCTGGTCCCTGGCAACTGCCAATCTACTTCCTGTCTGTGAATTTGCTTCATGTAAGTAGAATCAGACAGTGTTTGTCCCCTTGTGGCTGGCTTCTTTCACTTGGCACAATGTCCTCAAGATTTAACTGGATTGTTTTTAATACAGCTTTCAATACAGTATTTAAAAACCAGAAGCTGTTCATAATCCTAGTAATCCTGACAAGTCCTGTTTGACATTTACACAGATAAGTAAAGTAATATTCCCACAATGGGAAAGGTAATCATGACATTTCAGAATGAATAAAAGAAAATGCTGAAGTTTTTCTTCACATTCCTTCCCAAAGGAATCCATAGTCAGCCATATCTTGGTAATTTCTGATGTCCTTCGAAGTAAGCAGGGGAGTGTTTATTTATTTTTTTAATCTAGATAAAAGGAACACAGTTATACACAATATGTGTATTCTATTTTATATTTCTATATCATTTAGATGGAAATGCCTTATTAGCATTGTAGATCAATCTCATTCTTTCATTGTTGTTTTTGTTTTTTCCTCTTCCAGGGCCTTGCTCATGCATCCCAGACTAATTATATTTATTCTTTTTTTAAAATTTTTTAGTACTGGGGATTGAACTCAGGGGCATTCTCCTTCTGAGCTTCATATCCAGCTGCTACCACCACCCCCTGCCTTTTTTTTTTTTTTTTTTTTTGAGACAAAGGTATCTCACAAAGTTGTTGAGGCTACCCTCAAACTTGAGATCCTCCAGCCTCAGCCTCCCAAGTGGCTGAGATTACAGGCATGCACCACTGCACCTGGCTCAGTCTTATTCTTTTTTAATTTTTTAAAAATATTTTTTAGGGGGCTGGGGATGTGGCTCAAGCGGTAGCGCGCTCGCCTGTCATGCTTGCGGCCCGGGTTCGATCCTCAGCGCCACATACAAACAAAGATGTTGTGTCCGCCGAGAAATAAATAAATAAATATTAAAAATAAAAAAAAAATATTTTTTAGTATCAATGGACCTTTATTTTACTTATTTATATGTGGTGCTGAGAATCAAACCCAGGGCCTCACACATGCTAGGCAAGCGTTCTACCACTGAGCCACAATCCCAGCCCTCAGTCTCATTCTTTTTAAAAAGTTGTGTGGATTGTTTCTCTTGATTGGCTAAACCATACCGTTTTTTTTTTTTTTCTCAATTGCAAAGAAGGCTGCAGTGAGCATAGTTTTAATTATTTTCAGGCCTTGCCCCATTTTGTATTATGGGGTAGAAGACTTGCCAGTCCATCTCTAGGGCACACTCCTAGCAATATTATGGCTCAACCAAAAGCCACGTGCATTCCAAGTTATGACAGACATTTTAACTTATGCAATAAAAGAAGTTTTCCAGAGCATAAGAGTGTTGTTTATAAAGATTAGGATTTCATTCTATCCAAGAGAATAAAGTAGTCAGCAAAGAGTCGAGGAAGAAAGCAAAGGTGACATCGTCTGGGTACACAAAGGCCTAACTGCTTTTGTCCCCAAGCACAGCCACGGATTGCTGTGCTGTGCATTAGGAAGAATCCTGTGAAATGCCTTCCCCACCCTGCGGCTAGGCTGTCACCCCCAGGTAGATCACCCCCCAGAAGCCTTGGCCATCCTGTCCCAATGCGACAGGCGCTAACTCTGAACGTGCTAATAGGTGCAGAGCACTTTGCACCTTGCGTGTTACCTTCTCAGTAGCTCTGTGGGGAGTGATAGGGTTTCTTTCTCCCAGTTTTCTGACAGGCAAACTGAGGCCTGGAGCCAGCTCCAGGTTACCTGGAGGGAAGGACACACTTCTTTGTCTTTCTCTTATCCCCAGGGGCACATATTTTTAGTTATTTTCAGGCCTGGCCCCATTTTGAGCTTTAGCCCAAAGATCAGAGACAGGCATTTTCCCCTCCTGTCCCTCATAGTGGTCCCAGGGTTTCTAGGGGACCTCGGCCACTCCCCCTGCCTCCCAGGAGCCCCAGAGCCAACCTCTGCAGCCTCTCTGACTCTTGCCTTCCCTTTTCTCCCTCCTCTCTCTCCTCCCCGCTCTCAGGTGGCTGCTGAGATCTTGGTGAGTGTCCCGATCTTCATCTGGATGTTAACAGCCTCAGTAAAGTCTGTGCTTTGGGGCTGGGCAGTGACCTAGGGGCCTTGCTCTGCAGCTTCTCTCTCTGCCCTTCAGGGCCCCTTAAGGACCCTGCTGGGAAAACATGGGCCAGGCAAGTGTTTCCCCAAATTTGCTGGTTCATCTCTGGCACAATTTGGGCTACTTAACCACCGGCTATGATTGTTTTCTTTAAGTCCACTCACTTGTTTGTTAACCTAAAATGAGTTACTTCAAAGGGAGTTAAGTGGATGTAAATAGAACTGTAGCCAACTAGAAGATAACTGAGGAAGCATACACGTGAGGTGTGTTAAAATGTCTGCCTTTCAGGGTGCAGTGGCTCACGCCTGTAATCCTAGTGACTCAGGAGGCTGGGGCAGGAGGATCATGAGTTCAAAGCCAGCCTCAGCAAAAGTGAAGTGCTAAGCAACTCAGTGAGACCCTGTCTCTAAATGAAATACAAAATAGGGCTGGGGATGTGGCTCCATGGTTGAGTGATCCTGAGTTCAATCCCTGGTACCCCACCTCCAAAAAAACCCTAAAATGTCTGCTCTTGACTCTATTTGGGGAAACACTGACTAGGCCAATTTTCCTTGCTTGTGTGCATGTATACATTCCCCAGAGGGGCTCTCTAATTGGAGGACAGAAGGCAGGAGAACCCTGAGTCTCTGTGCCCAATGCCAATTTGGTCCGTCCCCTGGGCCCCAGTCCCCAAGGCCAGGGTGGAAACACCCAGTGCCGAGCCCATCAGTGTGCCCACTGGGCCTCTGGGACCTGAAGAGGGGAATGTGGAGGTTACTGTGCTGGAGGCTGAGGAAAAGGAGGCCAACCTCAGCCTCCTCCCATGGCGGCTGGATCAGCCCCGCTTCCGGCTGCCTCAGCCTCTGCAGATAGGAAAGTGGATCATAACCGGGACTTTCTTATGTCTCCCCTCCCAAATCCTTGTCCCCACCCGGGCTCTGCAGGAAATCGCAGACACTCCCAGCGGAGATAAAACTTCCCTGGAGACGCGGTTCATGACGATCCTGTGCACCCGTAGCTATCCGCACCTAAGGAGAGGTGAGGCCCAACTCCTTCCAGTTCAGCAGGAAGAGTTGCAAATCCAGCAAGAGCCTCTCAGCTCTCTGTGAAGAGGAACCAGTTGCACACTGTCCGCCTCCCTATTCCTGCAGTGGTAGGGGACACTGTGGTTAATGGGGTCACAGGCACCCTGGCATATCATCAGCCTCGGGCCATCTCCCTTCACCTCCTTAAGAGAAGCAGGTGAGATGCCTGGGATAAGGGCTGGCAAGTGGATTTCACCTTAAAGGCCAATGCTGGTGGATTGGAAAGGAGCTGCTGTGTTGAGAAGGCTTCTGAGGTTCAGTGTCACAATCCATTGGTGATATCTGCTAGGAGCATGGCAGTGAGGGGTGGTGGTCACACAAGACCACATGTAAGTGTTTGAACCACAGGCTGCCACACACACAGGCACACCTATGTGTAGGGGCCCTTGCATGAGAAGACCATAAAGTGCCCTTTCCACTAAAGCAGCTGAATATGCATTCGTCTGGCACATTTCAGTACAGCTGGTGCTTTAACATAGTGGCTGAAAGAATGGACTAGGGCACTGAACCACCTTGAAATGAATCCCCCACTTATCAGCCATGTGGCTCTGGGCAAGTTTCTGAATCTTTATACCTAAACCCCTTACCTAGGAATTGGGATTTTTCTTCTGCTTCATGTGATTGTTGTGAGGACACAAAACACAATACATGTCAAGCATGTAGCACTGTCCTTGGCCCATGTGCTGCCTAAGGGTTGTACTCAAGACTAGTCTTAGTGTCCCCACCTGACCCATGAGGAAAAAGAAGCCCAGAGTGGGAAAGGGTTCACCTGAGGTCACTCAGTGAGCCAGGGGCAGAGCCATGACCAACATGCCTGTTCCCTTTACCACACCAGCCTGGGTCCTTTGTACTTGTCCAAGTCCCAGGGGCTTCCAGTCAGCCTGGGGGCTCTGGCCTGGCACAGATTTGGCACTGGGCCCACAGCAACATTGAGGTCAGAATTCCTTCTCACCATGGTCTTGCCTGGTGTATTTAGCCTGTCTGTGGCCACTTCTGCTCCCCTTTCCTCTTCCCCAACACAGCCTGTGGGCAGAGCTGAGTGGGGCTGGGGAGTGGTGATCTCCCTCTCTGAACTGAAGCTCACTGTCACCTCTGGGGCTTCTCTTGGGGTCAGTCTTCCAGGAGTTCATCAAGATGACCAACTATGATGTGGAGCACGTCATCAAGAAGGAGATGTCTGGGGACGTCAGGGACGCTTTTGTGGCCATCGGTAACTGACAGGGACCAAGGGAAGGGACTGGGGAAACTGGGAACACGGCCAGCTTCCCTGAAAGAGTGCCACCTTAGCAGCTTCCTGTGCTACTGGCTCTGGAGAGTGAATTCTGTCTCAGGTCACCTCCAGGGTTTCTGCCAGTTGAGATTGTTGGGAGCATCATGAAGACCTGTTCCAGGCTGCAGGTCAGGATGCAAAACCAGCCCTCCCTGGGGAAGGATCAGTGAGGAGGACAGGGAAGAACTTGGTGTCCTGCAGGACTAGAATGTATATACAAACAGTCACACCCACCACACATGCACACACATAAGGACATGCACATGCAGGATATATTCACACATGACACACTGCACACACATGCACACACACGCATTCTTTCCTCCTCCCAATACCTCTCTTTGGTTCCTCTCTTCCTGCATAAATCGAGTTCTTGACTTTAAAGAAGTCTTTCCCTTTGGGATCTGTATTTCTCTATGTGTAAGCATGAGTAAATAGATAGGAGCAAGGGTTGAGCGCCTAGCTATTGACTTTATTCGTGTTTTTTACCGGCATCCTATTTCATGTGCTATTAAAAGGATGCATTGATGCATGTACTTTCCTTATCTCGCCAGGAGGTGTCAGCGGAAGGATTTCCCATAACTGCCATCCATTATAAAATGCATCTGGACTTCAGAGATGCTAATGTGGAAGAAAGGTGGTTTGGATTAGATGGATAGAAATGCTGTTGCTGTTGTTACTTACCACGTAATGGTTCTTTGCCACCGAGCACAATGTCCGGGAAGCCAAACGGCCTTGTGGTTAAAAACATGGGCTCCAGGGGGAGTCCCTGTTCTTCCACTTGCTAGCTGCATGTTCTTGGGCAAGTCACAAAGCCTGTGTCTCAGTTTCCTTCTCTGTAAAATGGAGATAGCAATAATACCCAGCCTGTAGCGTATTTTTGTAATATTTAAATGAGTAAGTATATATAAAGTACTTAGAGCAGCACCCCCTGCCACAAGGTTGCCACTGGCAAAGTGAGCTTTTATTGTGATTTCCAGCCAGGTTCTGTGCAAGGTTCGTTATGGTTTGGTCAGATCCTCACCAGAAACTTCACAGAGGACAATGCTGAGGTTCAGAGAGAATAATGCTAACACTAGAACCAGGGGCTGCCTGAGTCCAAAACCCGTGTTCTTAACACCAGAATAATCAGCCTTTGGAGACTCCTTTAAATCTTGCCCTTCTCATGTTTCTCCCTCTTTCTTCTCTCCTCCCACCTTGAACATGTGTGCATGGAGTCATACCATACCAAACTACACCACTCCACCCATGGCAGTCACCAGGGTCCCTCGAGGCACATAGGCTGTTGCAAGGAAGGCTTGCAGGGTTGATTGTAGAGGAGAAAATTTTCTGCTCAATGTGCTCCTTAACTAGACTCACGAAGCCCTAGACCTGGAATCAGGGGAGGCTTCCTGGAGGTGGTGTCGTGACTGGAGGAGATGTGCACATCAAGTGCAACCTTGCAGGATGCGGTTTAGGGGGACAATAAAATAAATAAGAAGCACATCCATACCAGGCAGACAAGACACAGAGGAATGTGCACTATGTTCAGTGGGAGGGAACAAGGGTGACTAGGGGGCAGGAGCTTTGGCTCTCAGGCCCAAGAGCTCATGGGGAACTGCATCAGGAGCTAAGCAGGGAGGTGTGTGATGTGATCTTTCCAGAGGGGCCTGCGTGGGATTGTGCCTTTGGGGTAAGCAAGGCCAGCCTCTTGCTCCCCAGAGTCTTATAGCTCTCTGCTCTTGGTGTTTAATCCTCCTCCTTAAGCTGAGACAGCCCCATTGGTCCTTGGAACCTTGATATCAGGCAGCTGCGAACCCCAGAGAACCCCAGGCCTTGAAAAAGTGCTGTGTTGGTGACATTGGCTGTTGTGTGGGTGGGGTGCAGGGGCTGCCAGTGCAGCAAGAATGTGCAGGCCCTGGGGCAACAGTCAGCCCCAGGGATTGGCACAGTGCCTTAAAGTATACTGACAGTCATCTTTGGGGTGCGCTATTCTCTAGATCAGTAGTTTTCAAACATCACTAGAGAAGGGAGAACACCTATACTGGTTTGTACGGACGTTCAGTGCTAAGACAGGGAATGTACCCAGCAAACTGGGATGAATAGGTCACCCACCTCCAGAGTTTCTGATTCAGCACATCTGCGGTGGGGCATGAGAATTTGCATTTTTACCAAGATCTCAAGTTACGTGGATACTGTCAGTCTGGGCATCATACTTTTAGAACCACTGCTCAAAATGTCTCTAGAATCTAAGTCTCAAGCGGGGAGCCCAAAACCTGAGTTTTAAACAAGGTTCTCATGTGATTCTGATGTGCTTGAAAGTTTGAGGCCCTCTTCCTTGGGCTCAGAAGGGGTTAATTCCCTTGGAATCCTCTTCTGACCTGGGTGAGCTGCAAGCATCTTAACTGGAAGTGAGTTGCAGTCCAGTGAGAGCCAGGCCTAGGAAGGAGCAAAGGAGGTGGCATTGGGAAGGGGAAGTGAAGCTGTCATCCCCTGAGTGACCCTGGGGTTTGCAATGATCTGCAGGCCCAGGTTGGGAGAGTGGGGTAAGAGGGAAATTCCAGCACAGAGCCTGGGTGCACAGCTCTGACTAAGTTCCCTTCATCTCCCTCCTCTCCCCACCAGTTCAGAGTGTCAAGAACAAGCCTCTCTTCTTTGCTGACAAACTTTACAAATCCATGAAGGTAAGAAAGTCTTGTTTATTTCTTTCCCTTCAGGCACTGACTTTCATGTACCCACAAACACAGGCGTGCACATACCCCGGATCAGGACTTCTGGCCACTGTTTCTTACCTCTTGTTATTTAGCAGCATCTGCCCTTGTCTGGCTGTAGGATAGAAATTTTCCAGTAGCATTGATCTTGCTCCCCAGGGGACACTTGACAATATCCAAACGTATTTTGGATTGTCACGATTTGACGAGTGTTGCTCTGGGCATCTGCTGGGAGAGAGCAGGGGTGCTGTTAAACAACCCATAGTGCACAGGGCAGGTCCCCATTGTAAAGAAATCATCTGGCCCCAAGTGCTGAAGTTGAGAAACTTGCTGTGGGGACAAAGGGCTGAGTCCCCTCTCAGAGCTCACATTCTAGCAGGTGACAACGTCTCTTGACAAATGATTATCCAAGATCACAAGTCCTTAGCCCTCTTTTTCCTGAAAATGCCAGGCCATGCTGGCCACATTCCAAGCCCAAATGCTGAAATCTCAACTGCTGACAGAGCCAGGCATGTGGTTTGGTGGGAAGGAGTCTGAGACCCCACTCAGCCTAATCCCCAAGCATGGTAGCCGATTATTGAACACTTATCATGTACCAAGTTTTGTGCCAATTGTTTACCTCCCTGAACACAGTTGACCCTCCCAGCAACCCTATGAGGTCATGGTAGTATCCTCATTGTATAAGGAGGAAACTGAGGCCCACATAGGTGAAAACTTCACCCACATTTACCTGACTCCTAAGTGGCGGAGCTGGGGGCAGAGGCAGGCCCTGGCTGCCTGTACCTTCCATGCCCAGTGCCAGCTTCTTGGGCCCTGTACCATTTCCTAGGGCTGCTATAGCAAATCACAAGAAATTGGGGGACAACAGAGACTTATTCTCTCAGAGTTCTGGAGGCTAACAATCAACCTAGGCCAGGTTGATTCCCTGAAAACATGAGGGAGGAACCCCCCCATGCTACTCTCCCAACTTCTGGTGGTTGCCAGAAAGCCCTGGCACTTGTGTTTTGTGGATGTACCACTTCAATCTCTGCCTTCATCTTCACATGACATCCTCTGTGTGTGCGTTCCTGTCCCCTCTCTTATAAAGACACCAGTTACTAGGGCCATACCTAATGCAGTATGACTTCATCTTAACCGATCACATGTGCAGAGACTCTATTTTTAATGTTTATTTTTTAGTTGTAGTTGGACACAATACCTTTGTTTTATTTATTTATTTTTATGTGGTGCTGAGGATCGAACCCAGGGCATCGCACACGCTAGGCAAGTGCTCTACCGCTGAGCCAGGACCCCAGCCCCACAGGGGACTTTTGGTCAGGACTGTTTGTGGAAAACAGAGGCAGAATATCTCACCCCAGTTTTGGAGAGTGAAAGAGAGGGAGGCAGGTGGACACCACCATGTCTTGCCTCACCAGCTCTGTCTCCTGCCCGTGTCTCTCTCTTTCCTGGCTCCAATAGGGCGCTGGCACAGATGAGAAGACACTCACCAGAGTCATGGTTTCCCGGAGTGAGATCGACCTGTTCAACATCCGGCAGGAATTCATTGAGAAATACGACAAGTCTCTCCACCAAGCTATCGAGGTAAGGGGACAGGTTTGCCAGGGGGTTACCTGGTAGAACAGCATGTGGCTCAGTGAAAGGAGACCACCTTACTGTTGATACCAAGACCAATTCCAGAAGAACCAAAAGTTCATAGCTAAAGATATTCAAATGAAAAAGCCTATTTTTTTAATTTTAAAATTTTTTATTAAAGCACAACTCACATACGATGAAATTCAGAAATATTTAGTAAATTTACTGAGTTGTGTACCCATCACCACAGTCCAGTTTCCAGATATTTCCATCATCCCACTAAGGTGCTTTCTACTTGCCTATTTCCACTCCCAGGTGTAGGCAGCCACCAGGCTACTTTCTTTTTCAAGATTTTGGGGACCTTAGGGGTCAAATCTTTCTATCTAAGAAGTTGCCTTTTCTAAGTATCTCACATAAATGGTTTCATATAGGGACCTTTTGTGTCTGGCTTCTTTAACTTATGGAGCCCTTTTTTTTGGCGGGGGGGTCTTGAGATTGGCCCAAATCTTAGAGCTTGATGCTGTCTATACTTGCTTGACAGCCCTGTGGGTATCACAGGCAATGTCATGAAGACTTGATGGAAATTTAAATTGGTAGCACACCTTGAAAGGGCAATTTGTCAGTTTCAAAATTTGAAGTGTGTGTACTTTTGACTGGGTAATTTCTACTTGTTGGAATTTATTCTACAGACATTAACCGTACATGTTCCCAAAGACATGTGGGAGAATAATTATGCCAGTATTGTTTATAGTAGCCAAACATTGGAAGCTGTCCATAAAGAACTGGTTAAATAAAATATGGTACAGGTTAAGCCTTCCTAATCTGACAACCTGAAATCTGAAATGCTCCAAAATTTAAAACTTTTTAAGCATCAACATGACAGTAGTATAAGTAGAAAATTCTATATCATGAAACTTAGTTTCATGGCACAGAACTATTTAAAACATTGTATAGAACTATTTAAAACATTGTATAGATTTACCTTCAGGCTATGTGATGCATATGAAACAAATGAATTTTGTGTTTGAACTTGGATCCGATTCCCAAGACATCTCACTACATATATGCAAATATTCCAACATTTTTTTAAGAGAGAGAAAATTTTTTTAATATTTATTTTTCAGTTTTCGATGGACACAACATCTTTATTTTTATGTGGTGCTGAGGATCGAACCCAGCGCCCTGTGCATGCCAGGCGTTACTGCTTGAGCCACATCCCCAGCCCTTCCAACATTTTTTTTAAAAATCCCCAGTCCAAACACTTCTGATCTCATGAATTTTGGATAAGAAATACTCAACCTGTATATCCATATAATGGGATATAATACAGCCTTGAAAAAGTATGAGAAGGCTCTAGGTGTTGATTTGTCAAAAAGTACAGCCCAGGACAGGATATGTGTCCATTTGTGTAGAAGAGGGATGTATATGTATTTGTATGTATACAGACTGTTGCTAGGAAATCATATCAAAATGTAGTAACAGTAGCTGCCTCCTGATTGGGGAATCTAGGGGCCAAGGATGGGAGGGAGACTTTTGGGTACAATCATCCCTTTGATCTGAATTGTTTACAATTATAACATTATTTTGAAAAAAAAAATCACATATTAAGTACCCCCAAACTCCAGAAACCCACATATCATAAATAGGTTTTCATAAGTGACAGGAGCCCTCTAAAGGGGACTCTGTAGCATAGGCTACACTGGCCTTCCCCACTTGATAGTGGTGTGCCAGACCACTGTGCTGTGTGGTGAGTATAATGATGATCAAGCATGTTACCAGTGGGCTCAGCAGCGCTTGTTCAGGTCACATAACATGACTTGTGAGGGTAGGGTGGGTCTCTGTGGTGTGCGAGGAGAACCAAGGTGGGAAGGAAGCATTCTGCCTCCTAAGGTAAGATGGATGGCAGGAAGGTCCTTGGAGGAGAGGGCCCTGCTGCAGACAGGACCTGGGGCAGGTGCAGGGGCCTGTGGACAGCTGGAATAGTGGGGGAAGGAGCCAAGAGGACAGTGCTGCCCCCAGGAGGACGGGAGGTGGGGTGCTGCAAGCTCTAGGGTCCAGAGGTCCTTGAAGCCAGGCCAAGAGCTGGCACATATTCCTGGGGGTCACAGGGCCCCAGAAGGGACATGATCACATTTATGCACAAGAGACCTCTCTGGCCTTCATATAACAGCTTTGTTGGTGACAGAGAATACAAGGGAGATGTCCAGGCTGGTGGGTAGTTAGGAGAAGGGGTGGGCATTCAGACAGAATTGTTTCCACTCACTCTACTCTCCCTCTGCCCCTGCCAGGGTGACACCTCCGGAGACTTCCTGAAGGCCTTGCTGGCTCTCTGTGGCGGCGAGGACTAGTACCACTGGCTTTGGTGTGTCCCTCTGCCAAGAAATGGTCTGCAGTGCCAGCTGCCGTGACCAGGCCGTTGTTCCAGATCCAGAGACTAAGGAAGGCATTAGGGTGGGGGGAGGGGTTAGGGTGGGGCTCTTGTCTTCAACTGAGGCTTAGGAAAGTCTCCCACTCCCAGGGGTCATCAAGGGCCCAGCACGGTCACTCCTGCTCATGCCCGAGCAGCTGAAGAACCGTAGCCACAGGTCCCATCCACCTCTGCTCCCTTGTTACCTCCTCTCCAGCCACCACCCCCACCTGCCTCTGTCCCTTGCCACACCCTTGCCCTGGTTTGGGCTTTGTCAAATCCCAAAACATACTGAGCCTCCATAAAGTGAGTGATGTGTGTGTTTTGAAAGGGGAGATGGTGGCAGGTGCCACTCAGCTTGCTGGGAGTGGGGAGGGAAGAAGAAATGACTTTGGGCACACTGGCAACCTTCCCCCACCCTCAAACTCCACCCATCTCCATGGGATCTGTGCTGGAGGGCCAGGCCAGGCCTCAGGACCCTGGGTTCTTGCATCTGCCACATAGTTGCTTCTGACTTGGGCCAGTCCCTTCCCTTCCTGATTCATTTCCTTATCTGCAAAAAGAGAGAGTTAGACTATAGAATCTTGTTTCCCTTCTAACATTGACATCCTAGAGTGAGCTTCCAATTAATTCCCTTGAATACCATTCATTCTCTTTTCAAAAGAGGAAAAATATGACACACAGAAGCACATTTCCAACAAGAGCCTCTGTCTCTTCCCTAGAACCTGCAGCCTGAATTTTCCTCCTTGGAGGCTGAGGTTGTTAAATGTGCCTGGGGATGTGGGTGGAGGAGGAAGTTAAGTCTTTAAGCTCTCCCTGGGTGCTTCCTAGGAAACTTCCAGAAGGGTCTGAGCTTGTCTCAATCCTGGGGAGGCTGGCCCAGCCCTGCTCTGGGTCTCAGGTTCCCTCTCACTGCCTGGACGTCTGTCTCTCCGTGTGCTCTTCATCCTTTACAACCAAACTCAACTTCCTCTTTTGACCTCTTCAAGGGCATCGATGCGATTGTAATCTTAGGAGGGCCAAGAGCCATGGAAAGCTTCCACTTCACAAGAGCACTGATAAGCAAGTAGGCTCAACAGTAGTTTCTCAGTTTTCCCTTCCCCCAGCTCCAGTTCTGGTTTGTGACTTGGATCAAAGGTTGTCCAGTGCCTGTGGCCTGCAGCTATCTGCTGGTTAGAGAGAGGGCTCTGCTCCCTGCCCTGGCTGGCCAGGCCTGTTTATTGTAACTCAGCATGTGTTTGCTATTGTAGCTATGCAGGTGGCACAGGTAGCTGGGAGACTTGCTGGATCTGGTCTTGTCCCTCTCTCTGTGTGTGACCTTGGACCAGCTGTTCATTGCCCTCTCTGGGTCTCAGTTTCCCCATTTGAATTAGTGAGGGGTTGGATCCAACAGTTTCTAAGGACCCTTTCTTCATCTCTGATAATGAATCTGGAACTAAGAAAAGTGACCCTTTTTCGTGTCTTCTGCAGTTCCTATGCTCCACCAAGCTGTGAACCCAAATGTCTTGAAGGTCAGCGGACAGCCCTTTTGAGTGTTTGCCCAACTTGATTTAACTGTTACCAAAGCATAATTTAACAAAATGATTAGGAACTTTGGAGTAAGACCTTTGTCACTGCCTGACTGTGAACATGTAATCTCTCTGAGCCTCCATTTCCCTATCTCTACAGTGGGCTCTAATTCTGCCTATCCTATAGCTTTGTGGGAGGAAGATGAGATGTGCATGGATGGGCAGGATGGGCTCTGCCTGGTGCCTGCCTGACTTGAAGTTAACTATTCTCACTATCTGCCCTGAACCAGGCAGCTATTTTTTTCTTTTAAAATATTTTTAGTTGTAGATGATATTTTATTTATTTTTATGTGGTGCTGATGGGGTAAGTGAAAAGAAAAGAATCTGAGGGGGGTAGCAGAGGAGGTTGGGAGATGTGGAAACCGGGAATGAGAATAGCTAAAACAGAGAACTTACAATGGACAACATGCTGTTCTAATGGCTCCACGTGCGTTTTTCAACTTGTTTCAGTCAAGATAGGTGATTGCATTTTGGGATTGGTCAACAGTAGGAGAGAGACCTTGTGGATTTGTGGGGTGAGGTAGATGAGAACAGAAATGGGAGTTTGCCTCTAATCATAGAGGAACTTGAATGTCAGCTTTTCTCACATAACCAGCGAATCCTTTGGAAGTTCCTGGGTGGGGAAGACATATGTTTAGCCATGCATTTAAGAAAGCCTAAATGAAGAAAGGGGACCATTTGTGGGGCAATTGCAACAACCCTGTTGGCTAGGAACTAAGTGGCTGCAAAACAAAACATTTTTTCTTAGAGTTGTAGCAAAGGAAGGGACAGCCATAATTCTGAATCTGAGGTGTTGCATTTGCTCATTTATGAGCTTACGCTTTCTGAATGTCTCCTGTGTGCTAGGCCACGTGCTAGGTGCTGAAGATCTGAACCGTGGTGTTTCTGGTCCTGAAGGAGGTTCCAGGTCCTACCTGCCTGCCTGTCTCCAGGGCAACACTGTAGTTTGCGTCTGTGGACAAAGTTAGATGAGGAGAAGTGGTGGGGGCTAAATTAAACTAAAAGGAAAGAGAAAGCAGAAGCTCAAACCACTGCTGTCTCAAAGTGGGAGAAAAGGAGGATGGTTGTGATGTTCTAAGTGTGGAAGGGGCCTCAGAAATTCTCACCTCCCTCTCAGCTACAGATGAGACAACTGTCACTTCCACAGAGAGGAAGCAACTGGCCCAAGGTCACAGCAAGGTTGCGGATAGAACTGGATCTCTGCAAGGATTTTATAAGTACCCCATACTTCCTCGAATCATTAGTGCCACCCTCCCTCTGGCTCCTTACTGCTCCCACTCTTGCCTTGGACATTTTCCCTTCAGGAAAACCCTTTTCAGAAGCCCTTGACTAGGATGAGCCAGACTTGGTCTTTGGGGCCACCAGGAAAATCTATAGAAAATGGCTGGCTGGGAGGGGGTTGCTTTTTAACCTGAATTATTTGGGAATTGCCACTGTATACTTTCTGCCAGCAGAGAGTGGTGTGGGAACAATTGGCTGTTTGAAAACGACTGATACGTACCCTGCCCCAGCTTGGCTGAGAGCAGGCTGCTGCCAGATTAATCCCACAGGAGAAGCTTCACCTCCATGACCACTTGGTTTGCAGCAGTACAGGATAATCACCTTCATTTTATGAGGAAACAGACTGCAAGTAGTGGCACCAGTTGCCTGAAGACACAGGCAATACATCGTGGACTGATGAGCTAGAAGTGGTCTTAGAGGTGATCCCAGTCAATCCCTTGTTTGACAAGTTTGGTAATTGAGACCCAAAGAGCAGGACTGTGCCTGTGGTGTTGGGAAGGGGCTGGAATCCAGGGCTCCGGGTTCCTGCCCTGCTGTCTGCTAAAGCTTCCTCCTTTACCTCTTAATGGCAGATGCCAGACAGAGCTGAGAACAGGAGGCAGAAGTGTCAAGTTGCCTTAGAACCCAAAAGCATTATATCGACTTTCTAATTTGGCTTTCCGTTCCCTACCAGACTTCAGGTTTCCCAAAGGAGACTTCCTCATTTTATAGTAGGAGTGAAGCAGTTGGGAAATTTTAGAATGTAACAGACTCTGCTCATCAGTTAGAGCCAAAGGGTGGGTAGGCAGACCTGGGGTTCAAATCCTAGTCCTCTACCAGCAGTAGATAAGTCATTTGATCTCACCTTGATTTCCTCACCTGTAAAAAGGGAATGACAAGCTGGGCATGGAAGCTCACACCTGTAATCCCAGATACTTGGGAGGCTGAGGCAGGAGGATCATGTTAGAAGCCAGCTAGCACAATTTAGTGAGACCCTGTCACAAAATAAAAAGGGCTGTAGGGGGCTGGGCTGTAGCTCAGTGGCAGAGCACTTGCCTGGCATGTGTGAGGCACTGGGTTCGATCCTCAGCACCACATAAAAATAAATAAGTAAAATATAAAGGCATGCTGTCCATCTACAACTATAAATAAATAAATAAATAAATAAAAAGGGCTGGGATTGTTGCTCAGTGGTAGAGTGCTTGCTTTGAATGCCAAGACCCTGGATTCAATTCCCAATACTGCAGAAAAAGACAGATATCAGCTCTAGGGAACCACTGCAGACAAGGAGACAGGATCAGCAACTGGATTCCCTGGGTGTGAAGACATGAGGACCCTGGCCAGGGCAAAGGAAGCAGAGGTGGAGAAAAGAAAAGACATTGGGGGCAAGAAAGTAAGGAAAAGGGCCCCATCCTGCTATGGGGAATGGGAAAGGGGGGAAGTAGATACAAAGCCAGGTGTCATTACCTGGGAACCCAGAGGCAAGAGGTGCTTTTAAAGGCAGGATATGAGGCCAAAGTCCCCCAGGACAGACCATACCCTGCCCTCCTCTCAGCTACGTAAGCACTGACAAAGCCCTAAGCCACAGCCACCTGGGAATGGGCCCTTCCCCCAGCCCAACTGGTTTTCTTTTTTTTTTTAATATTTATTTTTTAGTTGTAGTTGGACACAATACCTTTATTTTATTGATTTATATGTGGTGCTGAGGCTCACACGTGCTAGGCAAGCGCTCGACCGCTAAGCCACAAGCCCAGCCCCCAGGCCCAGCTGTTTTAAGAAGCTTCCAGCACAAGTATTTCCTTCTGTGGATAGTCCCACCCCTTCCTCTCAATTACCACCATCTGCCCTTGGTGCTCCCAGCTGCAGTCAGAACCCCCTTTCTAGGTAGGTACCCATTATGAGAGCTGGCCCTTGACCCAGAAGCTCCTGACAAAAGCAGGGAGGGCGGGAAAGTGACATTTCCAATTCCCAGTTTCCCACACAACTACTCCACTCAAAGCCCACATGTGCTGTTTGGTATGCAGAGAATTTCACATCACTGTCAGCCACACCCACAGCAGCGTACTATGGATACCCAGAATCGGAAACGCACTGCTGGGAATAAAAAGGCATGTTCTCTCCTGGTAACACACACACAGAAACACACATTACTGATCATGGAGAAAAATAAAATTGTTGGGCCAAAAAATAGACTGCTGATAAACCAGAAATCTGGACACTGCCCATATTTAGATCAAGTGGCCACACAGGAAACGCCTTGCATGGGGACCCAGACTTGCTCCTCACATACACTGGGGCACATACACACACTTTTCTTGGCACACAGTCTTAAGGTGACACATGCAACTCCAGAAATCAGGGACTTGCCTGTTCATGACCCTTAGAGGACAGATGTTGAGCCTAACAGCCATGACTTTGAGGTCTGTCCCACCTGATGTCCTGCTCTGAGAAGACAAGCCCAGGTCCCTGGAGAACTAGGGAG